GAAGCCAATTAAGAGGCCTCACACTGGGTGTTGGAACCTCATGGGGGGCTGGCATGTCCCCTAGCACATAGTAGGCACCTCATAAAACATGTAGAACAAGCCAACGAAATCCCCCTGTCCCAAAGATTAGCCAACTCCACCAACGTGCTCTGTCTTGGATATCACTCCTTAGGTCCCCTAGGCCTCATGAGACAAAAAGTATGAGGTACAACACTCAGAGCAAATGACCTACGCCCATGATAACTACCAACGATTCAGTTAGTTTTTTTCATTTTTTAAACTGTGCTAAAATACACAAACAAAACTTATCATATTGATCTGTACAGTTCAGTGGCATTAAATATATGCATGACGTACTACTATCACCCTGTCCATCTCCAGAACTTTCTCGTCTTCCCCAAAGAAGCTCTGTCCCCCTTAAACACTAATTCCACATTCCTCACCCTCCCCCAGCCCCTGGCAACCACCATTCTACTTTTTGCCTCTGTAAATTTGACTACCCTAGAAACCTCATATAGGTGAAATCATACAATATTTATCTTTTTGTGTCGGACTTGTTTCACTCATATAGTGTCCTAAAGGTTTTATCCCTGTTGTAGCAGAATTTCCTCCTTTCTAAGGCTGAATAATATTCCATTGTTTGTCTAGGTCACGTTTTCTCTACCCATTCATCTGTCAGTGGAAACTTGGGTTTCTTCAACATTGTAACTCTTGTAAATAATGCTGCTATGAACATGGGTGTACAAATAATATCTCTTAGAGGCCCTGCTTTCGATTCTTTTCAATGTACACCCAGAAGTGGAATTGCTGGATCATATGGTAATTCTATTTTTTAAATCTTTTAGCAACTGCCAAACTGTTTTCCACAGTGGCTGCACCATTTTACATTCCTACCAACAGTGCGCAAGTGTTCCAGTTTCTCCATATCTTCGCCAGCACCTGTTAATTTCTCTTGTTTTGTTTTGTTTTATATAGAGTGACCATCCTAATGGGCGTGAGAGGGCATCTCATTGTAGATTTTATTTGCATTCCCTAATCCTCAGTTACGTTGAGTATCTTTTCATGTGCTTATTGGCCATGCGTTTATCTTCTTTGGAGAAATGCCTGTTCAAGTCCTTTGCCCCTTTTTTAATCAGTTGTTCATTTTGTTGCTGTTGAGTTTTAGGAAATGGGAGGGGGAGGGGCAGGAAGATGAGGAGGGGAGAGGGGGCCACTAGTTACGGGGCACTTCCGCCCTCCAAGGCTTCACATTATCTCATGGAATCCTCACTGAAACCCAGTGCCCCATTTCTCAGATGTGGAGAGCAAGACTCAGGAAGGTGAGATAACTAACCCAAGGGCACACCATTAGCAGGTCATGGAGCTAAATGTCACCAGGCCTGTGTGACATCAGACCTATTTTTATTGCTATAGCATATATTTGATCATGTAGGAACAAAGAGTATTGTTTAGTAACCACCTTCGGTTCTAGCAATGTGGGTCTGTGTGCACAGTATGTGCTCTCTCTGTCATCCAGAACGACTGGTGAGAGAACATCCTATTTGCTGGTGTCCTGGATGACCTGGAGCATGCAAGCGGCAGGACCCACATCAGCCTGCCCCACCACGTCTCTGTCTTCTCCACCCACACCCAGTCCCCAGGTGATCGCATCCAGCCCCTGGGCTCTAAAACAAGCCAGCTGGTGACTCGGATTTATACCTCCAGCATTGACCTCTCCCTTCCACTAGGACTCCAAGTACTAACAGCCAGTGGCTCTTCAGCACTGCCCACCACAAGACCTGCTGCTATCCCACCTTCCCCGGCTTAGTAAACTGAACTTCAGGTTCCCAGGTAGCTCCTCTCCTGCTCCCACCCCTAGCCAATCCATCAGCAAATCCTGTTGTCTCCATCTGCAAAATAACACCAGGATGGAGGGCTCATTCCCACCCTCCCAGGGTGCCAGGCAGCCTCTCCGAGGCCCTCCACAGCCAATTCTCAGCACGGCCACCAGAGGGGGCATGTTAGAATCCACACCTGGCCAGCCGCTCAGGCCTGGAGCCCACAAAGGCTTCCCCAAGTCAGAAGAAACCCAAGTCCTCCCCATGACATGGAGGCCTCGTGACCAGGCCTAAGCTGACCCTCCAGGCCTCAGTTCCTGACCATAGTCAACAACTCTCTCCACGCCAGCCACAGTGGGCTCCTGCCATTCCTCATGCTCACTATGTGTCTGCCCTCAGTGCCTCTGCACTTGCCACCCCTCTGCCAGGCGCTCTCCCCCAGAATCCCGCCCCTCCCCTTTCAATCCTCTGCCCAGAGTCTCCCCTTCAGAAAGGTCCACCCCACCCCATCACCACCCACCCCTTTCCTCCTAGGGCCAAGACTGCCAGGTAGAGTCAGACCCGCAGGAGAAGAAACCAGTGTCTATTAAACATCACGTCTCAGTCCCCAGTTTTGTCAACTGATGAAAATTAGAGGTACGTGGTGGTTCAGTCATCACTTTCCCAACTCATAAACATTAATACTCACAGACCACGGGGCTCAGAGCGCGATGTGTTTTATGCCACAGTGTCTCTCCATGCTTCATACATGCCTGTGTCTATGACCTCAGCCCCCCATATATCACACCCTAAAAGAGAAACACCCTCGTATAGCACACTGGGGTCCAAGGGAATTCCTGTTAAAGATTCATCACTTTCGCTTTGCTTTTTTATATGCTGACTGGCATTGTCAGCTGTCCTCAGCTGGAACCACATGAGACGGTGGAAGGGATGGGCAAAGGCTGTGGACGGGACCATTTGCCGCAGAAGCAGCGCAAACGCCAGCAAGTGTGTGAAAAGCTGCTCACGTCTTAATTAAATAATGCTAATTAAAAAGACACAGCAATAGCATTTTTTACCTCTCAGGCTGGCTAAGATTCCAAAGAGAATGCTGTTCAGTGCAGGTGTGGGAACTGGATGTGGCTGTTGCACTCACCAGTACAGTGGCACTCTTAGAAATGTGTTACACCTGTGTCTGTACAGTGTTACCTGCAGCACAGAGTAGAGAACACATGTCTTCACTAAAATAACAGACAAGCACATCTAGCAGAAAGTCCTGCCCTGGCTGGGTGGCTCAGTGGGTTGGAGCACCGTACCATGCAATGAAAAGTGGTGGCTTCGATTCCCTGTCAGAGCACATGCCCAGGTTGCAGGTTCAACCCCCAGTCGGGGCACGTGCAGGAGGCAGCTGATTGGTGTTTCACTCTCACATCAGTGTTTCTCTCCCTCTCTCTTCCTCTCTCTCTAAAATCAATTTTTTAAAAAGCATGTCCTCAGGTGAGGATTGAAAAAAAAAAGGAAAAGTCCTGGGACAGATCCTGGTTCTGTGTGATCCTCTGTGGTTCCTTGCGGCCTGTGTGGTCCTGTGTGACCCTGAGCAAAAGACCATTTCTAAGCATCAGTTCCCTCATCTGCAAAAACAGGATAGCAATAATCTCAGTTTCCAAGGTTGTTGTAGGAATCAAATGAGGTCCCAGGGTGAAAGTACATAATTTAATAAGTTTAACCCATATATCAGCCTCCCTTGAAATAACTAATTAATCCTGGTTGTCAAGGGATGCTAAAGCCCTCAGGTGCCGCTTCACTGGAGTCAGGCTGACACCCTATGGACTTACTGACCAACAGAGTATTTGAAGAGTGGGACCACCAGGATCAAGAACCCCCCCGCTACAATGCCACGGGGACACACAGCCTTGCGTAGGAAGCAGGCCTCCGGCACATCAGGGAAAAAGAAAGGCATTCTCAGGCATGGGAAGCCTCCAGAGTCAGGAGTTAGTACACCACCTATGTGGCCCATCCAAAGATAGCAACACGCATGGAACTCCAGAGCCAGGAAGGGGAAGGCTAAGAACCCTGAGAACCAACAGAAATGGAAGAACCACCAGACCAGCGAACCTCTCCCACCTCCCCACGACCACGGGCGCTACACCCCAGTGCTCACTGCAGAGGGTGCTCTTGAACTAGGAATCCCACCCACACACGCGTGCTCATTTTGAGAAATTTAAAGTACTCAGTTTCTCGAAATGAAAATACTACAGAATGATATGATGATCCTGGAAAATAAAGTAAAAAGAAAAATAAACTTGGAAGAAAATGTTTACTAAGACCAAACTGGGAAAATTTTTAAACATTTGAGACGACTTTCTAAGTCAGCAAGAAAAGCAAAAAAAACCCCCAAAAAAACAGTATCATGATAGAAAGACCGGCAGAGGACATGGACAGGCCCTTCACGTGAACATAGAAACAGGCCGATCTGAAAACGCTACGTACTTTATGGTTCCAGCTACACGACATTCTGGAAAGGGCGCAGGCATACAGACGGTACAAGAGCAGCAGCTGTCAGGGGCTGTGGGGAGGGGTGAGCAGGTGACACCCAGGGGACTTCAGGGTCCTGAAACTATTCTGTAGGGCCCGGTAATGGTGGATACATGTCATTCTACATTTGTCAGCCCAAACCATGCAACACAAAGAGTGAACCTTAATGTAAACTATGCGCTTTAGATACTGATGTGTCGACATTGATCCTTCGATAGCAGCTGTGGACCACGCTAAGTAAGACGGTAACGACAGGAAAGCTGAGGGCAAGGGGTCTATGAGAACTCTGTACTGTCGGCTCAGCTTTGCGTAAACCAAAAACTGCTTAAAAATAGTCTATCGAGGGGGGGAGTTTCTAAATATGTAAATACATAAACCTCACTCATGATTAAGAAAACATCCCAAGCCTACTGACATGCTACTGGGGCCTAGGATCAGCCAGAACACCCGAAAAAAGTCATATTACTTTTCCAACATCTCACTGGAAACCAGAGCCCCCTTGACTCGCCACCCCCTCAGCGCCGCATCTCATGCCATTCACATCAGCAGGCATTGAGCACCTGCCCCTTGTGGGCTGTAAAGATTTCCTAGGACTTGGAAATTTTCCTTAATAAAGCTGATATAACATGGACAGCTCCTGTAATAACAACCAGTCAATCACTGCAGAATATGGCTCAGGACAAGTGGGTCGTGGAGACGCTGTGTGGGCTCAAGGTGAAGTCAAAGAGGCAGCGGGTGTCTTCATTGCTACCTGAGCACCATGAGGCCCTCACCAGGCTGCTCGGTAGGAAGGGGCCCTGGAGAGCAGGTGCTCATGTCTCTCAGGTGTTCAGGGCTATGACACCCAGAGGACAACACACCTTACCTGGTAAATAAGGCCCTCGAAGAGCCTTTCTCAGCTGTGGGTGGAGGGGGTTGGCTGGGCCCTGCTGGTGGCTGTCCTGTAGAGGGGACACCTGGGCACAGGTGGGCAGGCAGGTGGTATTTGTACACACACACCCAGGGAAAAGCCCCGAGACTGAAAAATCTACCTCCATAAGCCGGGAAAAGACCAAAGATAGAAGCTGTCTACTCCAGTCTGGTAGTGAATGGAGTTTATTTGGGGAAACCTACAGAAGAGCACGTCTTGGGCAGCTGCAAGACGAAATGGGTCCCAGCGCCACTTGGCAGGCACCAAAGAATTACACGGGGTAGAGGGGCATAGTCACAGGTACTAGTACGTGAATGCTACCAGGTGCGGGAAATTACTTCCCATGCTTGACCAGGTCAGGACACAGTCTGTTCCAGAAACCAGCACATATCAGGAAGCAAGGGAGGGTGCTGATTTATATCTNGCAACCTGCAAGGGTTACGGCCAGCTGCCTCTTGGCCCGAGGAGGGCGACGGCTTGTCCGAGGTGTCCGGTCTGCAGGGGGCCTGCTCACAGGACTCAGGCTCCCAGGCCACGTGTGGTGCCCGCTGTACTGCAGTTAAGTCACAGTGGGTTTCTGAGTAAGAGGTCCGCTGAGTACAAATTTGTACACTCGGATTTGTACAAATAAAGACTGAGGGGAAACAAGATGGCGGGTAGGTAACAGCTGCACCCGCGGCCTCCCGCAACCACATCAAAATTACAACTAAAACACAGAACCACCATCACTTTGAGCCTCCTGGAATCCGGCAGCACAGAAGCCCCACAACCAGGGAGCTGAAGAAGCACCGAAAAGGTAGGAGGGGCGGAGGCACGGAGGCGCGGAGACGCGGGCGGGTCGGGGCTGAATTGCGGAGACTCTCTGCAGGCCCACACCCGGTGCCGCGTTTGAAACCCGGGAGGGAATCTCGGTGATGGAGCAAGGGGTCCCAGCCCCACAGCAGGCCCCCAGCCCAGGGCTCCAGGGCCGGGAAGAGACGTCCCCACAACTCCAGGCTGTGAAACCAGCGGGGACTGTCCCTGAGGGTCGCGGAGGCTGCGGGAGCCCCAGCAGCTCCTCTCAAAGGGCGGCGCACGGACTCACTCGGATGCTCCCTCCGAGCCCAGCGCCGGGCAGCAGCTGGAAAGGACCTTGGACACTCGGGGAAGAACTAACCTGCCTGAAGTCGGGGCGAGAGGTGGAGGGGCGGCTTCCTCCCAGGCAGAAGGGCTGATGGAGGCCATGGCTCCTTTGGTGAGTCCTCCCGGCACACAGCTGGCAGGCAGGCGCCATATTTGAGTCGCCAGCACCTTACACCTTTGGCTCCACCCCGGTGATTCCCGGAGGCCCCGCCCCTCCCCACCTGTAGCTCATCCAGGCCATTTCCAGGGGCTTTTCTGTGCAAGTGGCCTCTTGAGCCTCACGCTTAGGACTTTCCTAAAATCTCTCAAACAAGCAGCAGCCGGCCCCATACAGCTTGATAAGCGGCCCAGGCCTGGCACTAGTGGCAGCCTGCATTGGCTCATAGCTTGGCCTCTCCTGGGCACCTCCAAGCCCAGCACAAGGAGCAGCCAACTACTGTTTGCTGTGTAGCTCATGCTGGGGGGCCCTGGGCAAGGCACTGGCACAGGCTGACTTTGCACCTCCCGGGAGGCCCCAGAGACAGTGCACCTGGTGGTCAGACTCGACCACGCTGGATTACAACCCTACCACATCCACGAGTGACACACTCAAGGGGCGCACTTGGTGAACACCAAAGCTCCACTGAAGTAAATCCTGCTCCATAGGGGTGTCTCCAGCACAGCAGCTCTTTGGCTGTAGTTGCAGCTGGTCCTCACAGCTGATTGGCCTGGGGGTCAATTCCTCCCAGTGACGCCAACAGCAACCAAGGCTCAACTACAACAGGACAGTGCACACAGCCCACACAGGGGAGCACCTAGAAGGCCCAGCTCAGGTGACTGGGGAGGCTGAGCCACTGGACCCTACAGGACACCTACTACACAAAGCCACTCTACAAATTCCAGGAGACATAGCAGCTCTACCTAATACATAGAAACAAACACCTGGAAGCAGCCAAAATGTGGAGGCAAAGAAACATGTCACAAAGGAAAGAACAGAAGAAATCTCTAGAAGAGGAACTAAATGAAATAGATCCAAGCAAGCTAACAGATACAGAGTTCAGAATTTTGTTTATAAGGATGTTTAAGCAGACTATTAGGGAAATAACTGAGAAAATCGATAACATAATAAAGTACCAATTTGAAATGAAGGCTACACGAACTGAAATGAAGAATAATTTACAGGGAATCAACAGTAGAGTAGAGGACGCTGAGAATCAAATCAGCAATTTGGAACATGAGGAAACAAAAAACACCCAACCAGAAGAGCAAAAAGAAAAAAGAATCCAGAAATATGAAGATAGTATAAGGAGCCTCTGGGACAACTTCAAGAGGCCCAACATTTGTATTATTGGGGTGCCAGAAGGGGAAGAAAGAGACCAAGAAATTGAAAACCTATTTGAAAAAATAATTACAGAAAACTTCCCCTACCTGGGGAAAGAAATAGACTTACAAGTCCAGGAAGCACAGAGGGTCCCAAACAAGAGGAACCCAAAGAGGCCCACAGCAAGACACATCATCATTAAAATGCCAAAGGTTAAAGACAAAGAGAGAATCTTAAAAGCAGCAAGAGAAAAGCAGTTAGTTACCTACAAGGGAGCACCCATACGACTGTCAGCTGATTTCTCAACAGAAACTTTGCAGGCCAGAAGGGAGTGGCAAGAAATATTCAAAGTGATGAAAAACATGGAACTACAACCAAGATTGCTCTACCCAGCAAAGCTATCATTTAGAATTGAAGGTCAGATAAAGAGCTTCACAGATAAGAAAAAGCTAAAGGAGTTCATCACCACCAGACCAGCACTACAGGAAATGGTGAAGGGTCTTCTTTAAGAAGAAGCCAATGAACAAAAGAATCTGACAAACTAAATAGATCCAGAGACATTGATGCATGCAACAGACGATCATATTTCTGAGGAAAGAGGGAAGGGGGGTGGAGGGTGGGAAGAGATTAACCAAAGAAGTTATATGCATATATGCATAACCCATGGACACAGTTAATAATGGGGGTGAAGGCCTGGGGAGGGGGTGGGAGCGAAGTGGAGGGAGTCAATTGGGGGGAAAATGGGGCACCTGTAATACTCTCAACAATAAAGATAAATTTTAGAAAAAAAAGAAAGAAAAAAGAAAGGTGGGGAGGGAGGGAAAAGATTCAGCACCCAGGTAAATAGCAGAGAAGTAGGCAGGCGCTTCAAAAGAGTGATCCCCTGACCCTGTGGGACACCCTGATGGTGCGTCTCATTTCTGCATCTGTACTCCCCACCTTCACAGAGAACATCATGTTCTGTCTTAAATTAGAGATCTTTCCACTTAGTCATTTTTTTGTGTGGGACATTTTATTCATATGATACATGAGTAGTAGTTAAATTTCTGGGTCAAGAGTGACACACAGGCTGAAATTTTTGATATGTAGGCTAGACTTTCTTAATTGGAATTGAGGGGCAGGCTTTGGGCGATGCAGAGACTCCCTGAAATTGTAGACACCATCTGAGTGTGTGAGCTCATGTACAGTTTTCTAGGATTTTAGGTTCTCACAATGTCTCTTGGACTAAAAGATGACTGAGGCTAGAAGACGTGTGTCCCCCGGTGCAGAATCCTGAATATTGTGTCTGTAACCATTGAGCTTTGCCAAATGGAGTGTTTTAAAGTAATTTTTTAATCAGACAAGTCAATGTACCTGGGATCTTTTTTACACACTTATCTCATTCTTGTAAGGCCTGAGCATTTCTGCTTTCCCTAAGTGTCCTTGTCGCCTCCCTCTCCCACCAGACTAGGAATGGGAAGGGAGAGAGCCCAACCTACTTCAGGTTTAAAATGGAGAGAACGCAGCATCTCCTGGGGAGGGGCAGAGTGAGGCTGACCCTTGAGGGTAGTTTTGGAGGCTGATCAGAGGTGGTTGGGTCAGTGGCAGGGGGCACGGTTGACCCCTGATTTCCAGGAGAAGTGCACAGTTACATGGCAGTTACATGGGTTGGCATCCTTCAAACTGGTTGCCAGGTTGGAATGACCAATGACATCAGAGGCTTCCGACCTCCCTGATTGGATGGACAAAATGCTGTCGTGCTTGGCAACAGAGATGGGCAACAGTATCTTCTCGAAGAGTCTGAACGTATCAGAGTCGAGGTGTCCTGAAAGGAAGAGGTCGGGAGAAATCATGGCCGGTCGTGAACCAAGTTTCCGACCTGAGAACCAGAGCCCCCAGCCTAGGTGCTCAGGGCACCCCCTGGAGATGAGAGTGGTTGAAGTCATCCCAGGACCAGCAGGTGAGGAAACTGGGGGCACCAGGGAAGGGAGAAGGCTGACCATTAAGGAGGAAGGGGGACCTGAGTTGCGGGGGGTGTGAAAGAGAGGAGAGATTCAGAAAGCCAGGGATTGGAGCGGACGACAGGAGCTGGGACACGGATATTCCCACGAAAGAAAAGCCTGGGAAGCAAGGAAGGAGGCTTAGGAGATGGCTCCAAGGACGAGAGAAGGGAAGCGAGGAAACAGTGGAGGATTCCTCTTTTTTCCTCTCCAATGGGAGAAATTCTCTCTCACAAGGAAGGGTTTTGAGGTCAGAGACACAGAACAAGGACAAGATGAATGGGGGACACATGGACATCACCAAAGACAGAGGAAGGTGGGAAGATGGCTGGGGAGATGACCAGTCGTCTATGAGACTGCAGAGAATGAAGGGGTTTGAATTTGGGGGGGTAGGTGGGGTGGCATGGGGTTTAGGTGACCAGTAGCTGAATCCCGAAGACAAAAGCTTTATTTTGTGGTCCGGTTTCTTTACTCAGCCCCCTGTGGAGAGTGGGGTCCCCTGCCTCAGCCTGCGGGCCTGAAGAGAAAGAGGGAGTGGTCATCAGAGGAGACAGAGGCGGCCGCCCCCCAGGCTCGGGACAAGTGGGTCGTGGAGACACTGTGTGGGCTCAAGATGAAGCTGAAGAGGCAGCGGGCGTCTTCAGTGCTACCTGAGCACCACGAGGCCTTCACCAGGCTGCTCGGTAGGAAGGGGCCCTACACACTTCCACTAAGTACTCATTTCCAGTAGAAAAGACGTCCCTGCTGGTTGGCGAGCTCTCTATCCCGGGAGGACTCCGCATTGATCCCTCACGGGGGTCACTTAGAAACGATAGAGGATTAGGCTGGACTTGAAAGGGGCCTCCAGTTGGGATCAGTTTGGTTTCAGCTGTACCCTCGGAGACTTCTCCGCTCGGGCTGGCCTTCTGGTCCTAAATACCTTCCTCTGTGTAAGGGAGCATCTTCCCACCCTGATGTGACTGTCCGTTGAGAAAATGACTGAATGGCTCGGGCATCGGCTGGGGCACATCCGTGCAGGATAAGGGAGCATCACTGATTGTTTAGCTGCGAGTGCTGCAGATATGCTGCTACGCCCTACCTGTCACTCAGCCACCCCAGACTGGGTGTGGAGGGGGGTCACCACCACTTCCTTGCCCAGGGAACAATCTCCTCTGTCCGTCTTCCTGTCAGCCTCACCCTTGGCCACGATCCTGAAGCTTCCCCAAGTTTCTCCTGTTTGCCCTGGAACGTCCCCATGGCAACCCTGTTCCCGTCCTCAGGGTGACACATGCCCTCTTTTCACAGAGGATCCTGTCATTAAAAGATTCCTGGACTGGGACAAAAACCTGAGGATCTCGGACAAGGTAAGATGTATTCCTGCTCTACCATCTATCCTGGGGCGGGGAGAGCTTCCCGAGCCCGCAGCTCCCCCTCCAGCCCGGTGCCTGTCACCACTTCCCTGCGGGGACCCAGGGTTCCTTGCTGAGTGGACAGGCAGGCCTGCCTCTGCCTGGGCTCCTCCGGGATCTGAGCCTAAGGCTTGCCGTGTGGTTGTTGCCATATCAACCCCCTCCTCTCTCAGCTCTTGGGGACTCCCCTTTGCTCCAGCTTATCAAAGACCCTGCTGAGGCCAGCTGTCCTAAACGCATGCCCTGAGACCCTCAGAGCTGCCATCATGGGAGCATCAGCCGGTCCCTCATCCCGCTGTTCCTCCTCTTTCGCAATGTGAGTCCATTTTCTGTTTTCCCCCCTTTCCATCAGTACCTCCTGTCCATGGTGATAGCGTATTTCAGCCGTGCGGGCCTCTTTCCCTGGCAGTACCAGCGGATCCACTTCTTCCTGGCCCTGTGAGTACCGGGCTTAATCCCATCGGTCAGTGCTCACGCCCTGGGGAGGGGGAGGAATGGGCCTCTGTCTTTTCTTCTGGTTTTTAACCTATTTGCATTGTTTCCTCTGTGTATAAAAGTGATGGGATCATAGTACTGTGTCTTTTATACCGTTCTTTGTGAAAGCCAACAGCCCTAATGTCAGTTAAAACACTGAATTGAAACTAAACATTTCTAACTCCTCTCTCCCTCTCCCCCCCTCTCTCCCACAGAATGGTACCAAATGTAACGGTCTTCCTCCTCAATTCAGGCCCTTACTAAATAACACAGATCTTTTGTAAAATGCTCCCCAGGGATGTTTCCTACAAGTCTCCCTGAACATCCTTCCAAAACACAGGTTGTTCATTGACTAATTTCTTTCTAAATCAAGGCCAGAGTTCTCAGCTTGAGCTCAGCTCTCTCTGACCTCCATCGAACTTGCTTACCGCCCTCATACCCCATTCTTTGACTCACGGCTCTTCTAGACACCCTTCCCTGTGATTTTATATTGTGTTTTCTGTCGAGGTATTTTTTACACATATGTATCTGAAAAAATGACCTATTCTTAAGATCAGCTCAAACACCAAAATCTGCAGATATCATCTCCGATCTAAATCCTGCATCCCAGTAGCACTTTAATTAAAATTCTATTACAATGCGATAACTTGGATTACAGTTATTGTTCGCCTCCCCTCTCCTCCTTCCACAATCCCATTAGACTAGGCACCTGTTGAAGGCAGCTCTTGTCAAAATCTCAGTGGCTTCTTAAAATGCTCAGCACAATTCTTTTCCTTTTGCTAATGTTTAAGTTATATTGAGTCTGTAAGGCAATCAGTTTTGCACTTGACCAGGAGACAAAGCGTTCAATACTCATTATATGAAGCCTTATAAAGTGTGTCTCATGTGCCAGAGAACGTGAGGATGGGAAGAGAATTTAAAAAGTGCTGTTGAGTTAATGCGCCAACAAACCAAGTCCTCTGCTAGTCATTTAGTGGGAAATCGATGATACGGAGATGGAGCGGTCGGCCCCCACCCTCAGGAGCTGTGCAGGCGCTGACACTATAGGGACACAGGTTAAAGGGAAGGGGGCCGGCTTCCCCATTGAATTTTATCTTCATCTTCAAGGTATGGCAGGTGCCCTTCAGGTCCTGCTCAGCAGTGGCTTCTTGGTGACTAGGTGGCACTGTGGCACTGGATAGGGCTCCTGTAGGTCCCGGGTGAGGAGGGTCCAGCCTGTGTCCTCTCTGGGAAGCTGACCTCAGGCAGGGGTCCTTCCTATCCTGCTCCTGACCGGCAGCCTGACGTCTTTCCTCAGCTACCTAGCCCTTGACATGGAAGAGAATGACGAGGCCCCTAAACAGGCCATCTTCCCCTTCCTCTCTGGGGAGAGCAACTGCCCGCAGCGCCCCTGGTTCCACAAACTGCGATTCCAGTTCTTCTGTTCCATGGGCTGGAGGGCGCGGGTCACGCGGGAAGAGTGCGAGGAGGTAGGTGGGCTGTGGGGATTAGGCAGGAGGGACGGGGCCAGGCTGGAGAGACAGGGGGATCGTGGGGGATCTGATTTGGGACTTGGGGGTGAGACAGAATTGGGGGCTGGACAAGAGATGGGATGGGGGATCCACCTGGAGAGTCATCATCTTTTCAGGGGGCTGTTTGTCTTTCCAGATCCAGGCTTTTGACCCAAAGCTCTGGGTGTGGGGGCGAGATCGTGCCCTCCTTCCTGAGACCACCAAGCCTAAGGTAGGTCTGAAGGAAGGGGGTTCTGTGTCCTCACAGGTATAGACGGGAGGATTTGTTGTCTCTCTAGGAAATCTGAGGAATCCAATGGCTGGACCCACACTCATCACCCCTTGTCCCCATCACCCTTCCACACACCAGGTGCACAGCCAGGCACTGACTCAGCTCCCAGCCACGAGCTAACAACCACACACAGGCACCATGGTGGGATGTGTGGGGGCCAGACCTCAAGACCTGGCTGAAATCAGTTTAAGCAGAGCACCTGGGTCCAAATAATAGCTTTGTTGAAATGTTGAGTTTTGTGAAAATTGAGTAACTTTCCAATTTTTTCCATATATTGTTTAGACTGTCCTTTACTCATTTGGGCCTTTCATCTCTCAGGAATAGCAACTATAGGGACTTATCTACAACAGGATGTTAGATGGAACAGTCTCTATATCCAAAAAATAAAAGATAAATCATCACTAGCCATTTTTCATCCAAATTTACTTTCAAACAAATCTTATCAAAATTTACTTATGGCCAGATCACTGGTGTGGTCCTCATTTCTCTCCCCTTGTGCAATTACACATTTCCCTCTCAAGTTTATGGTCAAGGAAGTTTGTCAGAATGAGTGAAGGTTGAAAATTACTAGCTCCAGCATGGCTTCCTGTGATGGACACATTAGAGTTACAGATGTGGGCAGAGGGTTAAGCAAAGATTTGGTTTAAATCCTGTGAACCAGCTGTCTTAGTCCATTCTGGCCGCTGTAACAAAACAGCACAGACTGGGTGGCTTATCAACAACAGACATTTACTTCTCACTGTTTTAGAGGCTGGGACACTGAAATCCAGGTGCCCGCAGGGTTGGGATCTGGAGAGGACCCTCTTCTGTGCTGCAGAGGGCCAACTTGTCACACAGTGAGGGGACGAGGCATCTCTCGGGTCTTTCCTAAGGGCAATAATCTTGTTCTTAAGGGCTCCACCCAATGACCTAATCACCTCCCAAAGGCCCTCCCTCCTAATACCATCACCTCGGGGGTTATGAATTTGAGGGGACACACTCACACCACAGCACTGTCCAAATTCAGACTCAGTATTATGGTTAAACATTAGGATCCAGGGTAGGAACAGGGATTGGGGATCTGGCCTCACGGTCTGTGATGTTGACATGTCAGTGATGTTTGCCGTGTGGCTAGAAGTTCAGATCTGAAGGAATACAAAAGGACCAAGGTGTGAGTGAGCTAGAGCAGCTCTCCCCCTACCTGTGCTGCTCCCCGAGCAGTCACCTGGAGTCCTGGCTAAAAAGCAGGATACTGGCTATATTAAGTAATTTTTGGACTCAGGGCCATCAAAGTGTAAGAATCACTTTTGAAAACAATGGTCCAAGAGTGGGGTTGAGAATGAAGGATTAGAGATAAAATGGGGTACAGGTTAGTCTCAACTCTGATTAGAATTGACTGAGAATTTAAATAATCTTTATATCTGGAGAGGTGCCTTTTTGGAATGTAATATCCTCTCTCTTTCTCTTACCTCTAGATCGCTGAGCCTAGGGGAGGCTCGAGTTTCCCATAGGAAGTCAATCCAGAGGCTAATGTGCGGATCAGAAGCCTGTAGAAGGACAATAAGAAACCAGGGTTTTTTGGGGGTTCCATCCCTTCCTAAAGCACCACCCAAAGCTTCACATTGTTTAACTGAATCTCCCCTGAGGCAGAAGCTGGAGGCCCCATTTTTTTTTTAATACACTTGGTTGCAATAGTTACAGTCATCTGTAGGTGGCCTTTAGGGGCTCAGACTAGGAGAGAAATACTTTAAAAGTATAAAATTAGAGCCCTAAGTTTGTGATAGCTGAATGTATGACATACATTTTATTGGTTTATTTTGAAAATGTTGCCCATAGGATTATTATATTTATTCTCATATTTAATATTTATATATTTGTTAGGTAGTTTTGAAATAGCCATAGTTTTGAAAACGTGCTGTCCTTACAAAGTTTTTTGATGAGTATTATAGCTGTTATACATATGTAAAAACTGTATAATTTTGTTTACATTTCCAAGAGAGGTTTTTGTGGTTCATCTATTATGTTTATGTAATATCAACTATCTTACAGCTAGGTGGGTAGTTCCCCCATATTCTTGTAAATATAATTTTTTTTTTAATCTTTATTACTGAATTGTGGGAATTCAGGTGTAACTTTTTACCCTGCCTGGATGGCATGTGTGCTTGTTACTTTAGATCATTAAAGAGCACAGTGCAATGCGTCTCTTGAGGAAATATAATAAAGATGAAATTCTTACCTTCATGATGTGTGCGCCCATGTCAGTTTCATCAGCCTATTCCCTGTAGCTTAATGGGGTTGTGATTATTCAACCAAATTTCTTAACTCTGAAAAATAATCCTGAATTGTTTCCCACGTGGGTAGAAAAAACAATAAAAGTGGAGGCAGATCCTAAGCTCTAGTCTGAGAGCAGGAAAGAAGGGGACGATGTTGAGGCAGGCCATGGGAAGGGCAGAGAGGAGGAAGAGAGCACCGCGGGCTCCTAGGCAACACTCTGAGCTTCAAAAGCAAGGACAGGTGACTCAGCGAGACATGCTTTCCTGGACATGGGCTGCGACCAGCGGACCCACGGGCACAGGAGAACCCACACAGTGCTCACTACCCTAGTGGGAGTCCTTTTCCCAACCCCCAACTCCAGTGGGAGGTGGTGGAGGGACCCTGGAAGAGAAATGAGAGTTCTGGAGAAGTCGCTGGGGAGAGCTGGAGCTGCTAAGCGAGATAGGCACGGAGGAGGAGCGACCAGCGTGAATGCTGGGCTGTGGGGGAGAACGTCCTGGGAGATGGCATTAGCCGAGAACACTGGGATAGTCCCACATACCAAGCGTCCGTGCCCTCGGCTCCTGCCTCCCTCGCAGCACACAGGTGCTTCACCCATCAGAGAAGCTCCCCTGAGCTCTGGTGACCTGGGTTTTTCTTGGGGTTCCCATATGTAGGCACGATCTTGTCAATCACAGGCCAAGAGGCTGAACTCAATGTCCAGCCCCCTCTGCTCCCCAGAAATTGGGCTTTAATCCAGGCCTGTAATCACAGGGCTGGTCTTTCTAGCCTGACTGGCCCCCACCCTGAGGCACCTCTTTAGCATAAAGCCAGGTGTGCTCCAAGGGGCCTGGCGTAGTTCCCAGACACTCCTATCACTCAGGACATTCTGAGGATTTGGGGGCTTCCCCCAAGGAACCTGGGTCAAGGATGAGCCACAGTGGCGACCATACAACACATGGAGCATGGCCGGGAGCTCTGTCAGGACTCAGGCGGGTGAAGGGAAACAGGTGTGGCTGCAGGCACCCTTCAGGCAGAGCTGTGGCATCCCCTTGAGACAGGAGGAGCTGCAGGGTGAGGAGTGAAAGAACGGGGTGCTCACAGGCCACTGGAATAGCTCAGGAGATGCGCACATTTAGGACCCGGGGGCACCTGATGACAGTGAGCGACTGAGTGAAGAGAAGCCAAGGAGGAAACGTCGGTGTCAGGGGTGGGCTTCTTTCTCCCAATGAGGGGGGAGGAAGGTACCCCAGGCCAATAGTCCGTGATGCTATGGCAGACCTCTCTTCACGAATATTCTAATTAAATGCCTCACCTGTAAGGGAGCATGATACATCCCTTCCTTTCCCCCATTTACCAGAGTTGCCTGTGGTCACTGACTCTAAGCCTGAGGCTCTCAAGGGAAAGAAAGGACACCTCGTGCATCGGCGACATTACAGACATCCCCTTAAGTTAAGGGGAAACTGGAGTCTGGGGTCGGGTGGCGAGTCTTCTCCACACACCGCCTGGGCAAAAGGAATATGGGAGTCCTTTGTACGATGCTTGTCACTGTTCTGTAAACTTGAAATTTTTTCAAAATAATATGTTGACTGGAAGAGAGCGCTGTCAAGTACAATGGGGATGTTTCCAAGGGGCTCAGAAGCTAAGGGGAAACGATTCAAGCTGGACCCACTTGCACATCAAAAGGGGTGACAACTGCGATCTACCAAAGTACTTAAAGTCCATTTAAACCCATCAGCGCATGAAATGTAACAAAAGGAAACAAACTGAAAATCCTGTTCAATATTTTGGAAGTTGTCTGTCCTGTATGAGCCACAGAACCAAGTAGAGAGAGGATGCTGTGGTTTAGAAGAGCACTCCAGCCGGGAAAGGAAGAAAACGGTTAGGGCACAGTTCCCGTCCGTCCCCCTGCGAGTCAGTGGATCAGCGACGAGCTGCAATCAACAGAAGCTAAGGGCCCGAAGCAAAGGCAGGGAGACAACACAGGGTGTCCAGAGGAAATAGGACAAATGTCACCGGCAAGAGTTTTGCCAAAAGAACTTGACCCGAGTCTGAGTAAACTTCAGATCTAACTTCCAATTTTATAAGGCGTACAGGGAATTTAAAAAAAAAAAAGAAAGTAAAGCTAAAACACAGATTTAGCCCTAGCCGATTTGGCTCAGTGGTTAGAGTGACGGCCCCATTTAGCTATTATAATGATCTTTTCCATCTGGTATTGGATTCCGTTGGTTAGTATTTTGGTTTGGATGTTTGTGTTGATATAAGTGATACTGGTGTGTAATTGTATGTACTGACTGAGCAGTCTTCTTATCCCTACTGCTCCTTGCCTTCCGGACAAATTTAAGCCAGAAGGCCATTACCTCCTATCGGCGATTTATAAGCTCACTTGGCTTGGCCTTGGAACAACCTGCATGTCCTTTGCTTTCACCATTTGGCTCTAATTCCGCCATTTCAGGGAATCTCACCTGTGGGACTGGCAGTTGGGGCTGTGTCGGCGGGTCTAGACCTTTGTTGATATAGCCTTTGTAAATAGTAGGGGAATGGATCGTGGTCACTGAGCGCCTCCCTCCTGATACGAGTTAAATGGTTGCGCTTCCTAAAGCGGCTCCTTCACATGGCACTGAAACCCCGTTTTTGCTGGGCTCTCACTGAGGTTTCCGATCCCCGCGCTCCTTTGTTGGCTCTCTTGGGTTTCGCAGAACATCATTCACTGTTGTTAAGGAAGCAGTTGTACTGGATCATAAGTTGTCTTCAGAGTGTTCTCAGGCCTACGTGATAGTTTGGTTTGGAATAGAGCTCTAGGTCCAGAATCCTTTTTGTTTCCAAAGTTGGAGGCAGCTCTCCATGAGAAACAGAATGTCAGTTACCAGGGATCTCGTGTGATTTTTTTCCTCTGCAACTGTTCTGAATTTTTTTTCTTAGCCCTCTGGATATTTCATCAGGAAATGTCTGGGCCTCTGTATTGTTACCCCAGTACTCTTACTTGCACATTAAACGCGAAGGAGTCATTTTCGGTTCTGCCTTTCCCGTTGTTCCTCCTTCACATTATGTCTTTCCGAAAATGTTGAATCTGTTGGATCTGGCTTTCTTATCTCAAATTTTCTCTCATCATTTCAATTTCTTATTTTCTGAGAGACTGCCTCAATTATATATTCCATGTCCCATTTGTTGTCAAGCTTCTTAGTTGAGGATATTTTTTAAAAATTCAACAATCCAGTCTTTAATTTCTAAGTACCCTCAGGTGGCTGTTTCTTAGCAGAATGTTTTCATTTTATGGAAGCAATATCCTGCTTAATTTATTAAAAAATATAAAGCAATACAAAATAATGTGAGTTTTTTCCTTTATGAGGTGTGTGTTTCTAATGTCTGGACACTGTCTACTTCCTTGGCCAAATGTCAAGCAGAAGCACTTGGAGCCTGCTTCAGCCTAAAATCACGGCAGGTTTAGTGGCTATTGCGAGGTCCGAGACTGCTTTCCTCTGAGGCTTCTGCATTGCAGGCTGGGGCGCCTGGTTGCTGTCGGGTATGAAAGCACCGTCAACCTCTGTGATCGCCAGCTAATCGTGGGGGCCGAGAGCTCACAGCTGCTCTGTGCAGTTGACTAGGGCCAAGCTGACAGCTGTGGCCGGGTTCTCATGACTGACGACAAGCCAAGCACTCACGGCATAGGAGAGCCAGTCACCCCGCACCCAAAGCTAACAGTGGGGTCTGATTCATCCCAGGGCTAAGAGAAGCTCGTCAAATATAGGAATCGCTCTGGCAGGAAGAAGGAGCCAGGGGAAGTGGGTTTACAGCAAAGGAACCAGCTCTCTCAACTGGCTGTAAAGGACTTTTTCTGGAAGTGGAATTTAGGGAATTTCCCTGGTAAGAGTTTGAAAGAGATTCTCTGGCTCTCTCAGGATCCTTTCCAGGCCTAAGAATCCAATTCTGATCAGTAGGTTGGGGCCCTTTGTTTGCATGTTAAATGTCCTGCCATTTTAAACCACTGTTAGCCCCAAAAGAATCCTGTATGACAACCTACCCCCAAGGATTGTTCTTCCCTCTGCTTAGAACATTGTCCCCTGCCAAGTTTTCAGCTGTAGCCTCCAAGGGGGTCTCCTGCGTCCACTCTCACTCTCCATTCCATTTAGTTTGATTCAGCCACAGTGGCTTTTCCCAAATGCAAGTCTGAAGCACTTGTGATCGTCTAAAAACTCTCAGTCTGGCCCCAGCTCCATCTTCCATCACTGCCCCCTCTCAAGCATGAGCTTCCTATGTGGGTTGCACACTCCAGACTGTCACCTGGAGGCCTTCGCAGTGTGTGCCTCTGCCCAGACATTCTGTCCTTGCCCTTTACTGCTAGGACAACTAGACTCATGTTCAAGTCTCAGCTCAGGTGGCCCAGCCCCCAGGAACCTTCCCTGACCCTCAAGACCCAATCGGCATGCCTTGTCTCATTTAAGGTTCCCCCAAACAGTGCCTGGGGCAAGGATCAAGTGTTTTATTGGGAGGTAATCCAGGGAGGAAGGGGGGAAGTGAGACAGAGAAGGAAAGGAGCCAGGACAAAAGACATGACCAGGAAGGTGGCCACTGTGGCAGTCAGGGCTCAGTCTTGCTGGGACCTCCAGGAGACAGTAGAGAACACAGCTCAGAGGGGAAGGCTAGGCGTTTATCCTCACCTCCCACCATCACTGGCTGAAGGCTGCTCCTCGGGGTGTCACTCCCCAACACATCCAGCCTGTTCCTGCAGAGGCTCCCACATCCAAGGATCGCCTCAGGGATTGCCGGTCCTTGGGGCGATATGCGAATGTGGGCAGGATATGTATGCAGGACGATGTCCCCTGCATTCCCACCCCATGCTCACGTGTACTTGGCTCTTAACACCACTGCCCATCCGCCTGAGGGCAACTTGGGGTCAGGCACATCTTCTTACACCACCACCCCCAATGCCTGGCACATAGTATGCAACAATACTTGCTGACTGGATGCTTGCTGCTTAATGTAGCCCTTGGGGCACTGAAGGTGTAATGGGGAGAACACAGCTATGCCTCCCCAGGGGAAGCTTGGAGGCCCTTCACGACAGCCAGCTCAGACGGAAGGATTCGCCAAAACACCCCACAGGGCCAGCCACTGGCCTGGTGACCGAAGCCCTCTCCGTCCTGCATGTCTGCAGCACCCAGACCTCTCCAGACTAGACTTCTTCTGGTCTCTAACATGGACACCCCGTTCACGCATCCCAGAGCCTGGTTCCTGTGGGAATCTGTCAGTTCCTTCCTGCCAGGGCAGCGACAGAAGTTAGCTCAGGGTGGGGGATTTGAGTGGTTTCTATTTTCTTTTTTGTACTTTTCTGTATTCTCAAAATCTTCTAAAACAAATTGTACTGCCTTTATAATTAGACTTTTACTTTGAGATCACTGTAGATTCACACACCCTTATAAGAAACACTAGAGATCCTGTGTCACTCTCCATCCGGTTTGCCTGTTGGTAACCTTTTGCAAAACTATGGTATGATATCACAACCAGAACACTGATAAAAGTCAAGATGTAAAATATTTCCATCACAAGGATGCCTCATGTTGCCCTTGTATATTCATACCCATTTCCCTCCCACCTCACCAGCTCCTGAACCCTGGGCAACCACTACTCTGTTCTCCGTATCTATAATTTTACCATTTGAAGAACATGTAGGGTAACTGGATATCCACATGCAAAATAATGAACCCAGGCCCCTAATCTCACACCATATACAAACATTACAAAAATTAACTCAAAATAGATAAAAAAATCTAAATATAAGAGTTCAACTATGAATCACTTAAGAGACAACATAGATAAATCTTTGTGAACTTGGATTATGCAATGGTTTCTTAGAAATGACCATATGATCCAGAGAACAAACAACCTTAGAAAATTGATTTCATTGAAATTATAAACTTTTGTACTTCAAAGGACATCAAGAAAGTGAAAAGGCCCCTGGCCAGTGTGGCTCAGTTGGTTGGAGCATCGTCCTGAGCACCAGAAGGTGGCAGGTTTTGATTCCCCGTCAGGGCACATACCCAGGTTGCAGGTTCAATCCCTGGTCGGGGCACATACAGAAGGCAACTGATTGATGTTTCTCTCTCACACCGATGTTTCCCTCACTCTTTCCCTTCTTCTCTCTCTCTCAAATATATATATATACATATATATATATGTACACACACACACATACCAGGTGAGGAATAATAAAGAAAGTGAAAAGGCAACCCACAGAACAGAAGAAAATATTTTCAAGTGATATATCTAATAAATATCACTATCCAGAATACATACATAACACAAATTCAACAATAAAACAAAGATAGTCCAATTAAAATATATACAATGGGTGTGAATAGACATTTCTCCAAAGAAGATATACAAATGGCCAATAAGCATATGAAAAGATGCTCAACATCATTAGTCATTAGGAAAATGCAAATGGAAACCACAGTGAGATAGCACTTCACACCCACAAGGACGGCTACAATCAAAGCAACAGATAGTAAGTGTTGGAGAGGACTCAGGAGATGCCAAACCTCATGTCTTGCTAACAGGAACATAAATTATACAACGGTGCAGTTTTCCACTGTGGAAAACAGATAGCTCCTCAAAACATTAAACAGAGTTACCGTATGACCCAACATTCCCTGGTACATACCCAAGAGAAATGAAAATATGCTCACATAAAAACTTGTACACAAATGTTCATGGCAGCATTAGTCACGATAGCCAAAAAGCAGAAACAACACCAAAGGTCCACCAACTAATGAATGGATGCACAAGATGTGGTCTCTCCCTACGATGGAATATTATTTAGCCATAAACAGGAATGGAAGCACTGATACCTGCTGCAATGGGGGCGGACGTTGATAACACTAAGTTAAGTGAAAGAAGCCAGATACAAAGACCTACACATTATATTATTACACGTATATGAAATGTGCAGAATAGGAAAAGTCAGCAAGTGGGTTAGTGGTTTCCAGGGGCTGGGAAGAAGAGAAGGAGGAGTGAGCGATTACTTGGTAGATACAGGGTTTCTTTTAGGGGTGGTGGAAAGGGTCTAGAATTAGATTGTGAAAAATATACTGAAAACCACTGAATCATATACTTTAAAAAGGTACATTTTAGCCCTGGCTGGTGTGGCTCAGTTGTTTGGAGCACCGTCCCATGCACCAAAGGGTCGTGGGTTCGATTCCCAGTGAGGGCACATACCTAGGTTGCAGGTTCAATCCCTGGTTGGGGCGCATATAGGAGGCAACCGATCAATGTTTCTCTCTCACATCAATGTCTCTCTCCCCCTCTCCCTTCCTCTCTCTCTCAAATGAATAAAATAAATAAATAATAATAAAAAGGTATATTTTATGGTATGTGAATGGTATCTCAGTTTTTAAAATTCCATTCACATACAATTTTATGCTATTTAAAGTGAGACCCACTTGACACAGATGCTAAAACCATCCCAGGTCCTTTGTCCAGAGGTTCTGCTATCCTCGGCAGAGAGAAGCTTGGAAATGGCCCCCATCCCACAGGGACAGAGACAGAGAGAACAAGTCATTCCTTCAGGAAAGAGAATCATTATCAATAAAAAAGTTGGCCACTTTAGAGTTTCACAAATAATATTTATTGACTACATTTATAAAAGAATCTCACCCGCATTCATAGCAACTCTGTACAACCAAGAATCCCCCCATGATAAATAACTTGGATTTAACCTCGGGTGTGAATTATGTGATCTGAGAAAACAGTGGCTATCACAGACTCCTCCTGATTTGACTTTCATTAAAGACCTTGATTATGATTGACATTTTTGTTGATGTTCTTGATACTAGGTGAAGATTCCAACTTCAAACACCCCAAAAATGGCTGGAAAGCAAAGAGAAAGGCATTTACTAGGAACTGTCCCCCAGCTGAATCCACACTGCCCTTGCAGGACCTGTCAGGAAGCCTCCATGGGAGGAGAGTGGAGGGTGCCCCGCAGTGGAGGGGGATGTCATCCAGGTCCCCAGTGCACTTAGTCCTAAGGAGCCCGGGCAGGAGAGGGGTGCAGCGAGGCAACGCCAGGGTGCAGTCTTAGCTGGCTCACTTTTAGCTATGGGACCTCGAACAAGTCACTCAACCCCTTAGAGCCCGCTCTCTCCTTCTAGAACAAGGAGGAGAGTCCCAGCTTTGCAGAACTGGAAAAGGGATTGAATGAAATGAAAACTATAGCAGGTCTGATCAAGAAGGCAAGAGCTAGACTTGATCGCTGCTCCTCGGGGCTCCCTGTTGGGAGGGTTTTGAGCTCGCCCGCCCTCCCGGGACCTCCCCAGTCCTAGCAAGTCTCTGCCAGGCCAACTGATGGGTGGCTTGCAGCTTCTCCTCAGATAAGCTGGTTGTATATAGTATAGGGTATCTCACAAGACATCCCACATACACCCCAACTAGGCAGGATATCTCTCCTAAGCAGCTGGTTGGTGCCTGCACCTCTGTCTGAACAGCCTGCCTCAAAGCAACCACCTCCTATCAAAGCATCAGCAGTTTTCCTTCTGACCCACCATGACCATCTACAGAACATTCAAGCTTCTTTCTTTGCTCTTCCCAGAGCAGGCACAGGGGAGTCCAACTAAATTTGACATTGAGTTGGCAAACATAAAAAGAAAGATGAATCTTCATGAAAAGCAAAGGAAAATCTCACAGCACTGATCTACTCATGTTTACAAGTCACACCGAGCTGATGAACCCCTACCTTGGTCCCCTTCCTGGGAGCACACGCCCCAAGTGGTTGTGACCCTGGTCACTTGAAAGTGAATGTGCATCACAGGGTTGTTTGTCATCCCAGGGAGTCCGACACTAGGAGGACAGACAAGCAGGACACAAGGGAGAGGGGCTTCCGCTTCTGGCCATGGTAGAGCGCCAAGGACAACGCTAACCTGCCACAGCTAGAAAAATGTGGAAATGACACCTACAACTGTTTTCAGGTACTGGGCACTTTCCAGAACATTCCTCTTACAATTACATGGAGGAGAAATACAATTAAAAAGCAAATAGGCACGGGTGGAGTGGCTCAGCGGTTGAGCATCGACCTAGGATTCAGGAGACTGAGGTTCGATTCCTGGTTGGGGGCTCCATCCCCAGCAGGGGGCGTGCAGGAGGCAGCCGATCAGTGACTCTCTCATCATTGATGTTTCTCTCTCTCTCCCTCTCCTTTCCTCTCTCTAAAATCAATATATTTTTTTAAAAAACAATACATGTAAATTAGAATTGCATATATTTACAATTAATATGTATTTGCATATCTCTATTTACACAGATGTGTCTTACATGTATTTACACAGAGGTGTGATGAAAAGAAATTGGGCTGGACAGGGGTAATGGTTGGGGCAGTGGGTGAACTGGGGTGGGTGGAGTTTGGAGGAGGAGGGGGAGGAGGAGGGAGGCTTTTTCAGAGGAGACTAAAGGAAGATGCTGCAGAAGGGAAGGCCCTGCCTTGAACCCCAGGGTCAGTCTGGAGGCTTCCTGGAGGAGGGACTCAGCAGGGTTCTGGGTGAGGAATGTGAGGCCTGGCCGAGGCTGGTGGGGTCCAGACTGGTTAAGGGCTTTTCAACATGGTTGGGGTGAGGCTGGGGGAGAAGCAGCAGGTCCCCACCCTGAAGGTGTGCTCAAACCCCAGAGGGCTGCTATCAACCCTGGCACAGTGAAAAAAAATTTTTTTTAAATCCTCACCCGATGATATTTTTCCATTGCTATTCCAAGAGAGTGGAAGGGGGAGAGAGAGAGAGAGAAACATTGATGTGAGAGACACATCGACTGGTTGCCTCCCACACGCACCCCAACCACGGGGACTGGGGATCAAGCCTGCAACCAAGGCACGTGCCCTTGGCCGGAACTAAACCTGGGCCAGCACTCTGTCCGCAGGCCAACACTAACCACTGAACTAAATTGGCTAGGGCAGGATGAAAATTTATGGGAACTAGAACTGGTCATCTTTTGAAGGCAGGAAGATTTTAGAACTTAGGGCAGAGAAGAGGCGAAGAAAGAAAGGGGGGTGCCCAAGGTGCCCCGCTCCCCACCATCAGCACTATCATATCTGCACTGCTCTTCCATTAGCCTGGTTGGAATGAGAAGACACCTGCACTGGGTATGAGAAAGACTCTAGACAATGATAATGCCTGACAGTAATCATGGCCACACCCATTTCTCACCCTTTTGTTGAACTACAACCAAGTTCTCCCACATCCTTGACTCAACTAAACCCCAGCAGCCCCTGGGGGAAGCAGCCCAGGGAGTGAGATGGGTCCAGGACACCTCTGCCCTCACCCCAAGCCTGCTCACCGAATGACAGTGATGGCCCTCAAGAGAGCCTGGAGAAAGGCCAGGAGGCAGAGGCAGAGAGGCAGGAAGGAGGTCTGGGAGCCAGTTCTCTCCGGGGCCAGCTGCCCGTCCTGGTGAAGGGCCTGGAGCTGCAGCCACTTGAGAAGGAGGTGTCTGTTGCAGCAGATCCGCCAGCGGTTGTGCCAGGAGCGTGAGTCCAGGGGGGTTTCTAGGCAGAGAAAGCGAGTCAGGCCCAGCCTGGGTGTGGGGACAGGCCCATCCTAAGTTTGTACACTGCATATCAGACAGCCCTCCAAAGCACAAGGCAGAAAAAAGGGCCCCAGCAAGGCGGGGCACAGCCCTAGGGTATGAACGCTGAGCCAAAATTCATTAAGAGGAAGAGAGTTGTTTATTTATTTCCACAATGATCGTGGGGCCTCCTGGCTGTTTTTTTGAGTCTTTTATCTTTTAGAGCTGCGTGCTGAAACATTTATGGGTGAGAGGATGTGGAATTCAGTTGGGATCTGCTTCACATTAATCTCTTTCTTTTATTTTTTTATTTTTTGAGAGGGGAACAGAATGGGTGAAGCTCAGACGAAACCAGGTTGGTGAGAAGCTGATGACTGGAGCTGAGTGATGGTTTATCTGAACATTTGCAATTCCCCATAATAAAAACTTAACAGCAATCACAACCCCCAGTGGGATTCCAGTGTTCCCATCTCCTTGACCCTCTCCAGCTTTCTTGACACCTACTTTGTAAACAGGACACTCCTGCCTGATAGTACAACTCATGTATTTACTCTACTATTAATACACTACTACTATAAAATGCACATTCTAATTATACTGATATAAAGGTGCACTACTAATATAAAATGTAACAAATATATTTTCCTTTTAAGAATTTCTACTGCAAAAGCATAGAGAAGAAAAGCATATGAGCCCCTTAACAAGGAAAATTCAAGATGAGAAATATGGATTTTCTCTTTAAAATAGAAATCAGGCCCGGCAGGGCGTGGCTCAGCGGTTAAGCATCAACCTAGGATCCAGGCGATCAGGGTTTGATTCCCGGTCAGGGCACATGCCTGGGTTGTGGGCTGCAGCTGATCAATGACTCTCTCATCATTGATGTTTCTATCTCTCTCTCTCCCTCTCCTTTCCTCTCTCTGAAATCAATAAATATATATTTAAAAATAAATAAATAAAATAAAATAGAAATCAGTCCTAGCTGGTGTTGCTCAGTGGTTAGGGCATCCACCTGCACAACTAAGGGTCATAGGTTCGATTCCTGGCCAAGGGCACGTACCTCAGTTGCAGGCTCCATTGCCAGCCCTGGTCGGGATGAGTGCGGGAGGCAACTGATCGGTGTGTCTCTCTCACATCAATGCTTCTCTCTCTCTCCCCCTTCTACTCTCTCTGAAAAGCAATGGAAAAAATATCCTCAGATGAGGATTCAATATGTGTGTATGTGTGTGTAAATTTCTGAACTATAAAATAATGGCTAGAGTAAAAGTTAATACTGCTTTTTAACAATGTACCAGTCAACACAAATGATTCAACAATAAACTAACTGAGCTTTTACCTTTTCTTAAAGGTGCAGAGTATTATTCAAAGCCAGAAATAACCAGTAAAAATAACCCATAAATGTGTGTGATTATTTGGTTAGAAGAGCAGTTTGTACTACTGTTCTTCTACTGGCGTAGAGTTTTTTAAATAAAGTGATTTTGGCTCTTTTACCTGAAACTAGAGCCAACGTTTTGCTTTCTGTTTTGTTCATTATGCTTCCCCACCATCCACTCCAGTCTCTTTGCAGGGCCCTTATCTACCCTCTTCCCTGCCCTCAAGGTTACCAGTGACTGTCAGCTCAGACACACACCACCCAGCCCCTGTCTTTATCCTAACATGGCTTTTCCATATTTTAGAGAGAGTGGAAGGGAGGGGGAGGGAGAGAGAAACATCGATGTGTGAGAGACACACTGATTGGCTGCCTACCACGTGTGCCCTGACCGGGCTGGGGACTGAACCTGCAACCCAGATACGTGCCCTAGAACAGGAATCAAACCCATGACCCTTTGGTGTATGGAGCACTGCCTTAATACTGAGGCTTGCGGGTCAGGGCCAGAGCTTTAGCCTTTTAAATCTGCATTAACGGAGTCCTATTGTATGGGCTACAGAGACCTGCTTTTGCTTTTCTACGTTGCAATGGGTCTGATAGGTCCATTTCATTGTCCCTAATAGCTGCATACTCTAGGTGACAAGTGCCACATTTCAAATACACACCCACTGATATCTATCCTCCCAAAGTATCGCTTCCAATATTTTGCCATGAAAATCACTGCTGCAGACAGGGGTGCATGTGGGGGTGTCTACAGATAATGCCGGCATGTGGGCTTGCTGGATTAAGGGTTATGCACATTATGAAATTTGACAGACACCTCCAAATTGCTCCCCTGGCAAAGGGTGTGTGAATTTACACTCCCCCTCACTGTGTTACTTGTATAATCAGGAAAAAATATGAATCTTTTACAACATGAAGAGGTGGGCGGGTTGGGTAGTGGCCATTCATTTCCCAAGCACTCTCCCACCCAGCTCCTCTGGGGCTCCGAGAGGGCTGCTCAAATCACTAGCCCGTCACAGGATCCCTGGCATCGATCATCCAACCTCTCAAGTGTCCGTCCGTTTCCTCCTGTGCTTACAGAGTCCATCAAGGGGTACTCATTTCCCGGAGTCTGGCTATGGCATGCCAAGGGAAGGACGTGGTACAAGCCCACAAAACACGTCCACTCCCTCACTCACAGGCAATGCGGAGAAAGCAGGCACGTTGGCCATCAGAACCAGAAAGGGACTTGAAGAGCAGGTCCAACCCACTCATTTTAGAGACAATGAATGTAATGGTCAGGGTGCAGATGCCACCTCCCTGTACAGTATGACATGAGTGCATAACTGAATATAGATACTGGGTCACAAATGTATAAATATAGGAGTATATTTTGTCATGAATATACATTGCATCATAAAAATATGAATATGTATATTCTATGTCATGAATCTACAAATGCATACACACTAGTTCACAAACACGGATGTATGAAGACACTGTGTAATGAGTATATGCATAAATATGGTGTCACGAGCATAGGATGTGTCATGAATATACAATGTAGGAATGTGTACTATGTCATGAACATACAAATAAATACACTATCATAATTATATGTATATACAACACACACACTATGTCATGAATTATAGACGATTAGAGCTTTAAAAAAATACTTTAAATACCATCTAATTCCAGGTTGCAAACTGGTTTCATCTTAAAAACCAATGCTGATAGATTGGTAGAGTCTGAGACTTCCCTGCGTTCATAGGGAAAAGACAGTGGGTGATTAGTGATGCCCTGGGTTCGTAGGGAAAAGACAGTGGGTGATTAGTAATGCCTGACAATAGCAGGGGTAGGAGAAGTGCTATGTATGCCAGTCAGTGGACTTCTTTGTGTTACAGGCATCTGGGATGAGAGAAGTCTCCCCATCCCCATCACAATGGTCATGAGACCTCCCTGCCTTCCTGGGGAAGACTTACCTTTGATGCCTTTAAAATTCCGCTGCCTTTTTACCACCTAAAAGAAAAGCATGTAGGCAAATGTGTCCACCCCGGTGATCCATAGGTGGGGGCTAGGGGAGGTCTGAAAACCACTAAAAGGGCCATGGTCAGCGCAAAATGCCAGCCCTGGTCTCCTTTTAAAAGGACTCTGGGTCTTAATTCTGGGGACAGTTTATTCCTTGATGATGGAAAACCAGCAAACTGGAATGTGGGTGAAGGCAGGAGAAAGCCTCTAATACCACCCAGGACACGCATGAGAGAAAGGGTGTGGGGGGCTGAGGAGGGCTGGACCTGGCCAACCTGCAGTCACTGTCTTGTAATCCAGAGCTCTGGAGGAGGCAAACAAAGCAAAGTGCCGGGACAGAAACTCAGGACAGCAATGGTCCTTCCCTGACACCCTCCCTCCCACTACCACCTTCCATGACTGCCAGGGCTGGGGCTACAAGCACAGGAGCTCAGACAGGCTGAGAAAGCTGGAAGGGGGTGTGAGAGGAGGTGGTGGAAAGAAGGAGGCAAGGTGGTGTGCAAGCAAGAGAGGTGGTGAAGATGGGACCGAGGAGGAGCAGGAGGTGGGAAAGGAGAAGATGGCAGGAGAAAGGAAGGCAGCAGAGGCAGGCACCCTCTTCAGACAGCAGTGTACCCTCTTCCTCACCAGGACACATGGCCCGGCCGCATCCACACACCGCCTCTGTGCTCCTTTGCCATGGTTTCCACAGGACCCCTCCCCACAGGACATGAGTGGAGGACAATGTGGGGAAAGAACCTAGCACCTTCCCCCTCATCTCTGGGTCCCTTCCAAGGCGCGCCCTCACTCTCAGGCCTCACTGCTGTGAGAGCCTCCCTCTTACCTTCTTGTAAGATCTCAGGACCCGCGGCACCCAGTAGGGCATCACAGCCTGATCCCTAGGCACCGGGAGGCGGCCCCCAAAGTGGCGACCTAGGCAGGGGCACGCCTTGGTGGCTTTGGGGATATCAACCTGGGCCATCTTTTGGATCTAACAGAGAGGAAGGGGAAAGAAGGTTCAAAGGGGGATGAAGCTGTGCCCCAGGCAAACTAAACCTCAAGGACAAATCCTGGTGAGCTCCCCTCTACATCCCTCCCACAAGCACATACCAACCCCCCAGCTAAGGGAGCAGGTCTCTCCTTCACGACATTCTGGGGCAGGAGGCACCAGCACCTCCATGATGTCCCTGCCCTCACTACCCACCCAGGCGCCTGATCTCTAATCCTAACCCTGGATCCTAATGTTTGACCATAATACATAGTCTAAAGTTGGCCAGTGCTAAGATGGCAGGAGAAATGGTGAGAAGAGGGCAGCAGAGACAGGAACCCTCTTCAGAGAGCAGTGTACCCCCTTCCCCACCAGGACACATGGCCTGACCCCAACCACACACCGCTCCTGCGCTCCTTTGCCATGGCTTCCCCTCCCCACAGGACACCAGAGGAGGACCATGTGGGGAAAGAACCCATCACCTTCCCCCTCATCTCAGGGTCCCTCTGAAGGCCCTCCCTCCCTCTCAGGCCTCACTGCTGTGAGAGCCTCCCTCTTACCTTCTTGTAAGATCTCAGGACCCGGGGCACCCAGTAGGGCATCACAGCCTGATCCCTAGGCACCGGGAGGCGGCCCCCAAAGCGGTGACCTGAGCAGGGGCATGCCTTGGTGGCTTTGGGGATATCAACCCAGACCTTCTTTTGGATCTAACAGAGAGGAAGGGGAAAGAAGGTTCGAACGCCAATGGAGCTGTGCCGCAGATAAACATAACCTCAGAGACAGAGCCTGGTGAGCTCCTCTCTACGTCCCTCCCACAAGCACATACCAACCCCCCCAGCTATGGGAGCAGGTCTCCTCTTCATGACATTCTGGGATGGGAGGCACCAGCACCTCCATGGTGCCCCTGCCCTCACTATCCACCACTTGCACCTCTGCAGTCCAAGTGGCACGTGGTGCAGGGGAAGGACACATAGGTTGGAGCCAAGAGACCTGGCTCTGTCCTGAGCCTGGTGGCCTCTAGGAACGACCCTTGGGCACAACATTCAGCCCGTCTAAGCCTCAGCATTCTCATTCATACAGAGGGCTCTACAAGCATTTTGACATTGATCAGAGTCTAAAATGACAGTCTTTGATCCAGAAATCCACTCCTGGGACTGTATCCCAGGAGGACTCATGTGCATTTGCAAAATGTGTGCACAGAACACTGGCTGCAGCATTGGCTAACCAATAAGGAACAAAAAATGAGGAGACAAAGGGGACAGGAGGAAATGGGGTGGCATTTGGCAACAAGGGGACAGGAGGAAATGGGGTGGCATTTGGCAACAAGGTGGTCCCGTCTGTCAAGACATAATGTTAAGTGGGAAATGCAGCACTGTAAGCACAGCATGCTACCATTTGCATTTTTTTAAAGAATATATGTATAATAGTGCTTGAATATGAATTGCGGTGGGTCACATCCAATTCCTCACCCCTTCCTGCAGCCTCCTCCTTTGCTATGTGACTCTGCAGTTCCTTCCAGCAGGAACAGGGTAGACCCTACCCCTCAACTTTGGTTAGACCAGGCACGGGTTTGGCCAGCAGAATGAGGAAGGGACAGCAGCCAGATCTGGACCTGGGCCAAAGGGTCCTCATGGTTTTCCAGCTGCTTTTGCTCCTTTGTCATTGCCACAAAGAAAGACAATGCCTGAGCAAGCCTACCAGCCTCAAGATCATGGACACAGGGGCCCCTCTCAGACGCATAAGTAATAATACTGACTGCTGCTTCAAGCCAGGAGTTTGGGTGACTTTTTAAACATCACTAGTGAAAGAATTTGTTAGCATAGGCCACTAGATATTAATAAAGGAAGGGAGCAAGACAAAGGGAACCAGACATTATTATGCATAATCAACTAGGGAGCATAGGCTTGCTTCCCTAAGAAGTTACAGCTTCACACACTCCTCAGGGAACCACCAGTCTACCCACATGCCCAAGAAAAATGAGGCATGTTCATATAATACAAAGACTTGTACACAAATGTTCATAGCAGCTTTATTTATAATAGACAAAACTTCTGAAAGTGACCCAAATGTCCTTCATTGGACAAATGGATAAACTGCAGTCTATTCATATAATGGAAATACTGCTCAGCAATAAAAAGGAATGAACTATTATATACATACAACCACATGGATGAATCTCAAAAATAACTGTCCTGAGTGAAAGCCAGACCAAAAAAAGTATATACTATATGATTCCATTTGTAGAAAATTCAAGAAAATGTGAACTAATCTATAGCAACAGAAACAGGATAGTGGTTGCCTGGTGACAATGGCAGGCCAGGGAGAGTTAGATGGGAGTTACAAAGGGGCATTAAGGAAACTCTTTAGGGTTGTGTATATCTACATTATCCCAAATGTAGTGGTGTATACATATGTTAAGACTTAGCAAACTGTACACTTTACATATGTGCAGTTTATCATATGTCAATCATAACCCCATAAATCTGTTTTTTTAAAAACATAATCTATCTCTCATAAATTTTAAAATATCATTCATATAATTCTGATTGTATGAATCAGAACTTAGGACTCTGAGGGGTGACCGGTCCCCTGAAGTTCACCCTGGACCCAGATGAAGAACCCCAGGTTCAAGTCACCTACCTGCTTTCGGGGTCTCAGGGACAGAGGGACCCAGTAAGGTAGAGCTGCCTCAGCCCTGGGCACCGGTAGGTGGCCCCCAAATCTGGACTGGTACTCAGAGCAGATGGGCTCTCGGTGAACAGCACTGGGGACAGGACTCATCTGATCAAGAGCCAGAAAAGACAATTGAATGTGATGCTGCATTTGTAAAGTGAGCCAAGGAACTCTCTGGAAGAGTACATCAGTGCTCAGAGAGAGCCAGGGTTGAGGCAGGGTATCCAAGGGCAAGGACAGGGCCTCGTCTCCTACTGCAGCTCAGAAAGACGCAGGCTACCAGGGCTTGCCCTCAAAACTCATTTAGCAGGGTACCGCCAGAGCCTGCAGAACAGGTGTGCTGGGACTGGTGACCACTTACTGACACATTACCACGGGCAAGTCTCAAGTTCTGGCTCTGAAAATGGGGAAGTACAACCAACTCTAGTGGAGAGATGATTGCTCTTTTTGTGGTTATGTGTCAATCTGCAGACAGTGCTTTCCATCTGCAGAGGCTTCCACATCCACCCTATGTGATCCTGCCTACACCCACAGGCAGGAAGGAGAGGGGAAGTCATCCCCTCCAGGGACAGATGAAGGAGCTGATGCCCAGAGCAGATACGTCAGAGAGAAGCATTGGTTCTCCCAGGCCTCCTGAATCCCTGTCTCAAAGTGTCATGAGGAACTGAGGGCTAGGGATAGGCAGTGGGTGACACTACACAGAGATTTGTGGGGCTCGGTGATGGCCCCTGCAACCATGAACTGCCGTGTATGACATCCTCTCGTGAGATGCTGCTTCTGAACCCACGTTCTCTGCTCTCCCCACCCACAGGGGTGTGTCGGGGTTGGGGTAAAGTAGCTGAGGATTTGCTTTCCTTACCAAAAGATCTGTGAGGCACACTTCTTTCCCAAAGGTTTGAAATGTCTTCCTAGAAAAAAAGAATAGGAAGGCTTAGAAAGCTCTGGGCTTTGTGTAAACTGGATGCAGGAGTGCTAGGGTGAGGGCCTGGGCCAGCCTTCTTAGAACTGGCTCATATCCTTAAACCCCAGGGGTGCAAGGGGTCATCATTCTAAGCCTAAGAAGGGGTAGCGGGTGATAACAAAAGGTGTGTGTGGGCTCCTGTGCTAATGTCCGGGGTTTCCCGGATGTTGGATTTTTGCGGAATCCTGCACTGCTGAACCTACTTGCTCAGGCACGCTCCAGCTAAATTGCTGCGAGGCCCTTTGGGGGAGACAGGAACATCCCAATCTGGTGAGAACTTTCCAAGACGTGGAGCTGACAAACACACCTATGATGCTTTATCAGCCACCCCCAAGCTTACTTAGAATACTGAAGGGAAACATTGTCAAAACTGCACGTTTAAATGAATTCCTTCCAGCATGAAAACCTGGGTACTTTGTCTCTGGGATGACTCTGTTCCTCTCCCTCATCCCCCGGCCCCCCCAGTAAACTGTAGAATGTTGGCCACAGGCAATCTCCAGTGGGCACCAACGGGATGTGTCAAAAGTGCTTTGTAATAGGAAAACGTTTTTGGGTTTCGCTATTACCGTCATTACTGCTATTTTATTACAGCAATAACATGAAAACCGTAGTAAGCGTGATACCAGTGTTTTGCGTTTCATTATCATCAATAATTATCACTGCCATTTTATTACAATAGCTTCAGGTCATTGAGAGCAGCTCATCCAGCTAATACTTGAAAACACAGAGGCTGTGGGGCGGTGCCCTGCACAGGACCCAAGCAGCCGGCTGGTGATGACAGCACCGCTGTTTCCTTGGGGGGGGGCACAACCAACCATCTCAGCTCATGTCGTTCAAATGGGCTGGCACCCCCGGCTCCCCAGGCCGGAAAGTGGCCCAGCTCGTCGGAGGCGAGCCGGCACATAGCAAGGCAAAGCTGAAACGAAGACAAACGGTGCCTGACCACAGCTCTTGAACACCTGGGTACATCTGTGCCTGAAGACCTGCCCCTGACATTCTCAGTGAAACAACCAATCGCCCTTTTGTGCTTACTTTTCGTGCTCAGGTGTGGCCTCTGTCCTGCCTATGTGATACAAGCTACTGCTGGGACAGGGACGCTGGGACGCACTTGCCAGTCCACGGGCACTCGGGGTGTGAGTGCGCCCTAACAGGCCCAACGGACCAGCCGGGGCTCCCGGAAGTGCCCGCCGCGGCTCAGACGCGGTCGTGCAGGACGCGATGCTCATGGCGATGCGGTGACGAAAGCGGAAGCTAAACCACCAGTCACTTCTGCGGCCGCACAGCACAGTCTCGCACAGCCACACTCGGAAAGGCGCCGCCCGCAGGCCGGGGATGCCAGGTCCCTCTTCCGCCCGCCGGCGCTCGGAGACCCGCCCTTCCGGCGGCTCGGCCCCTCCGCGGCCCGCTCAGTCGCGCTGATTGGCGCACCCCAGCCAATAAACAGCTATCTTCTAGGCATGTGCGCTTAGTAGGCGGCTGATTGGTTCTTGGTGGAACTGACCTTGGGGTTGGCGCGTCAGAGGATCAGCTGGGCCGGGTGGTCCCGGGATGGAGGGGCGGTCACGCCAGAGCTCTTGTCATTGGTCGTCCCGCCCTGCGGCCTCGCCCGTGGGCGTCAGCCCGGGAGTGCCCACTGACGGTTTCCAGCTGGTAGGCTGCGGAGTGCCCTTGTCGGGAGGCGGGGAGGGCGGTGTCTGTCCCCTGGAAGGAGAGGAGGAGGTGCGGGCCGCGGCCTTGCAGGGGCGCGCGGACGCGGGCCAGGGCCTGGTTTCGGGGAGCAGCCACGAAGCGTCTCGGCGTGAGTTTATCACACGCAGGACTTGGCATATATTTGTATTTAAAGTTATTCGTTGTTGTTCTGAAATTCAGTTTTAACTGCACCCCGCATTTCACTTGCTGAATCTTACAACCCTACGGATGGGCACAAATTGTGGCTTTTAGAGAAATGTTGTATTTCTTGAGCAACCTGGGGTTTCAAAGGCCGTGGAATTCAAAAGGGCCGTCACCCCGAGAGTCTCGCTGCTGTTTAGAACCCTCTGGCCTCTCTTCCTCTGCGCCTTGGCCTCCCCTTCCTCCGCCCTCTCTCCCCTGCACATGGGCGAGCTCTGGGCAGCTGCTAAACTGAAAACAGGATTATGTCTTCACGTTTTCGTAAAACCAAATGCTTTCTGCCTCTGTATGTTCCTTTATCAGAAACTTCAATTTGTATTTTTTGGAAATGAGTTTTTACCCACTTTTCAGTATTTTCATGCTGACTTTAATACTCTCAATATCAATATTTGCCCGAACCAGCATAAAAGGAACGATAGCCCTGAAGGGAAACACCCGAATGTGCTGCACTCTAACCAGGGAGCTCTTGGCTCCCTTATTTGACTCTTAAGGTCGTGACCTATGAGCAGGACTGAGCTTTCAGGCCAGCACACACATGCATGCTCCCCTGGCCAGCACCCCTGCTGATTGGGCAGTGCCCCTACCCTATCAGCTGCTAAGTATCTCAAACATGACCCCGTGTATCTGGTGTTTATAAATGTCATCACTGGTCTCTTAATAGCTAATGACAAAACTACCCAGGAATCTCATCACTAGCCTAGCATTTTATTTACAGCTGGCTGTCTTGTTTCTGCCCAGCTTGGAGTGCTCTTGGCTCCTCTGCTATTTCCCTTCTCCTAAGCCCACTGGAACATGGCTGTAGCATAGAGGACAGGCTCATGCCCCTCAGAAGCTCTGGCCCTTACCACTTAGGGTCTTGCCCTTTCATGTTAAGAATAGCTCATCACTGTCCCCACCCCACCAGGAATGGCTAAAATTAAAAGGACTGAAGATACCAAGTTTTTGAGGATGTGGGATGTGGAGCCCCCCGTACATTGCTCATGAAATAGGTACAACCATGTTGGCAAACTGTTTGGCAGTATTACAAAACCTAAACATGAATACTTGATGACCAAGCAGTTCTTGCCCAGGTATACACCCAAGAGAAATGAGAGCTTATGCCCACCAGAAGACATGGGCAGAAACATCCATAGTGATCTGTTAACAGCTCCAAACTGGAAATTACCCAAATGTCCATAGGAGAAAAGATTTTTTAAAATATTTATGGAATATTCACATAGAACACAAACACACAATCGCAGCCCTCAACAAAAAGTAGATGAATGAAGCACACAAAGAAGCCAGACCCCAAAATGTGCATGTGATTCCACCTGCAGGATGTTCAAAGCCAGGAAAGAAAATCTACCACTACCACCTGGTGACCCAAAGGAGACCCCACTCACCCTGCCCCAAGTGTTCAGAATAACAGGGGCCTGAAACCAATCCTCACCCTGCCTCTTACTGTGTATATCAGGCAAGTCTCCTAACTTTTCCAAGCCTCAGTTTCGTCAGTAAACTAGTAATAACCACAGAACCAATCCCATGGGAAGACAGCATGAAAGGTGCTGGAGAGCCAGGCACATCAACGGTTACTACCCGAGTGTGGCAAAATCGTATCCCACCTCTCACCCCCGTATTTCCCTTTGCCTTCTCAGTTCAAGCAAGAGTTGACTCATTGCCACAATCTCTGGAGGGAAGTGGAACCTGAGAAGCCTGTGACTGCCAAACATTTCTGTGCCAGGCTTGTTTCTAAAGCTCCCAGGTAAGGAAAGGGGGAGCAGAGCGAGGGCGTTGAGTCCCGAGTCATGGTGCAGTTGTGCAATGTGTTCACCAAGGGTCCCTGCGTGAGAGCATGAGGGGGACTTGCGCTCATCCTAATTGACCCATCACAGGCATAGAAATGGAGTTCTATAAATCTAAACCCTGTGGGTTGTTTATACATTTTAAAATGAAATCTAAATAAAAACTATAGTTTTTAAAATTTCATGTTCTTTATCAGAGAACTCCTGAGTCTCTTGAAAGTTAAAGCATCTCTTCCCAGCCCGGGTCGCACAGTGCGTTTGGGTTAAGATAACGCCAGACGCTGATGACTTACGTTGGTGTATTCAGTGTTAATGGCCCCTGCATAAAGGATGCTCACTTTCTCACCCATACTGGGCCCTGCATTATGTGCCCAGTGCCCACTGGTAGACATTATCCTGTGTGACTCTGCTGCCAAACCCTTACCCTTTCCTCCTGGGATCACAGATTTCATGGTCACCCTGATTCTCCTCGCCTCTCTGCCTGTGACATTCTAGCATCCTCCCTTCAATGAGCTATGTAACTTCAGCGTCTTGGTCTCCTCTCTCTTCTCCGTCACCGCACTGTCCTGCAGTCTGCTGGGAGACACGGAGCCCACCATCCTCCTCCTCACTGCCCTCAGAGTGCTATGAAAAGGGCACAGCCCAAGCCAAACAGCCAGGCTCAGAGTTTGATCATTTTCAAAAGCCTCTGTCACCATCGCACCCCCGCTCCCCGACCCTCCACACCAAGGATCCACATCCTAGTGCTTTCCCTGAGATCACCAAAGTGTCCTTAGGAGGGTTCTGAGAAGTGTTCCACTTGCCTGTGGGGCCCGATGAAAGCTTGCCTTCCAATCCAACCATGAACACAGAGCAGAGAAGCTCCGAGGTGATGAGGGGCACCCACCGGCTCAGCCAGCCTTTGTCACCATCCTGAATCCTGGAGGGAACCTGAGGGCAGGAATTGGGTCTAGGTCCTTGCCTGCCTCCTGGCCCGGTCCATGAGGTGCTCAGCAGACAGTCTCTGAATGACTGTTAGAACAAGGGCAGCTGCGAATTACTCCTCTATTGCCTGGGCTACCAGGTTGGGATGGCAGCCACCTGAGCCATTGTCTAGGTACCTGTTGTAGACTGAGTGGTCACAGTGGCTCTGTGAGGTAGACTCTAGGACTGAGGCACTAGCAGGCGGGTCCTGAGACCGTGTTTGGGCACTCGGGCAAGAGCGGCATCAGCTCTTCTCTCATCCCACCAACCCAGTCCAGCAGTCCACAACTCCTCACCCAGGGCCGTCGCCTCCCAGGCTTCAGGCCTGTGTCAGCCCTTAGCAGCATCCCCACAGCGGCCTCCTGGGAGCCTGCTGGGGACATCTCCCACCTTCTTCACCTGCAGTCCCTTCTCAACACGGCAGCCAGAGCCATCTTCTGAGACTGATCAGAGGTCTCTGGGGGCTCTTAGGGGCTCAGAGGTAGGGCCCTAGTTCTCACAATGCCCGAAGGATGCTGTGTGATCTGTGCCTGTGTGAATACAAGCACAGATGTGCACATGTCATTTCCAATGACAGTATCAAAATGATGACATTCTGGTGTTACCAAACTCAAGGGGTTTGCCACCAGAGGTGTTCTATTCAAGGAGATGTGGTTGTCCTTAGGTAGTTTAATTTACTAGCAGCAAGAAGAGATTCACATCCAAAGCTGTCCCCCCAAAGGAGGCTTAGCTATTGCTTGTACACACCATTTGGTTAATTACATGTTAAGTTCTTGGCAGATGGCTAAACTTACCAGGTTGGGTTCTGCTCAAGTTCATCCTTTACAGCTGCCTCTGCAAAATACTGAACTACATTTTAACATTTAGCAATAGCATTTAGTAATAGTAGTAAGAACTGCCAGACCTTGAAACCCTTATCCTAACAGTGGCTCTCTTCTACTCTCTAAATACTTTTGAGGATGTTTAGTCAAATTACATTCCAGATCTCCCAAAAATACAGAGAGGTTAGCCTGTGTTCACACTGGAATGGCCCACGAATTGGGGTATTTTCTCCTCAAGCCAGGTCAGGATTACATGAGGACACTCCCATAGCTCTCTTAGCAGTTGGAACAAGAAGGCAGTGAACAGAATAAAAGGTTCCAGAAGAACACGGCTGCTTTCTCCAAGTTCTGAGCCATACATCTGGCTGTTTGGAGTCTATACACCAGACATCGTGGTCACACGAACTCAGGAAATTTCAAGATTCCTGTGACCAAGTTCACTAAATGACAAAGGGACTGAGCAGGTTTCTGTTCTTGTCACTGCTCAGGACCACTAAAAAGTGACTCACAATGGCATTCTGGGAAAACCTGGGCAACCCACAAATGGAATACCAGCCCTGAAGTGTCCTCAGGGTGGAGACAATCAGCTGGCTAAGGGAGTGGTCTTGGCTGTCTGGGCTGCAGCGGTCAACTCCAAGTTCTCAGTGAAAGAGGCCTGTCATGTCAAGTGGGCCCCTGGGCTAGTTCTGCATGAAGTGGAATGGAGGCCCACCTGCATCTAGCCAGTAAGACCACTCTGTGCACTCCCTGCCCTCTTTGCTGGCCAAGAGGACTTGTCTGGTCCTCAGCTGCCTGGTGTCAGGACAGAAGGGCGCTGGAGGAAAGATGCAGGGCAGTGAGCACCAGCCACAGTGAGCCAGAAGCCCAGACCCAGGCATGTGGTCAGGAAGGGAGGTCCCAGTCTGGACTGCAGAAGGAGTTGGGAATTCTCCCACGGCTGGGAGGCCTCCAAACCTGTTCACATTCAGCAGTAGACACTGGAGATCTGAGCTGGATAGGCAGATATAACCAGATATACAACCAGGCTTATGTCACATAGCTGGGGAAAAAAAAAGTTCATTTGTAATGAGCATTCAGCCCCAATACAGAAGAATCTCCAGTGACTTGTGTCTGAAATCTCCAATTACCTCCTCTGCTGTTAAGTAGCAGAGAACAGAGCATGTCAAAGTACACAGAGATACAGTCCACACAACAGACTTACCCTACCCAATCTCATAGCAGGCAAGGTAGCAAGTGATGGTGGTGCCAACAGTGGAAAATGTCTAAGGACCCTCCTAGGTCCATCTGCCACCTTCCCCAAATCAAGCACCACATGGGCATTGCTGGTTCCCAAAATGGGTCATTCAGGTCCAGTTAATTCATCCAAAGTTAATTCACGCAGGAAGGTCTCCTGATGAGCTGCCTGACCATTCCCTTGACCAAGGGAAGCCAGCTGGTGTTGAGTCCCTGCACACTCACCTGCTGAACTGAAAACCAAGAGCTGGCTGAGGAAATATCAGAGTGCGGAAACAACACATACTCTGGACAACTGGCTGCTGGCCCTGCCTGGCGACACTGAGGGCCACTGCCAGGGCAAGACCCCACAGGCCCTGGGCCCTCACCTCACACCGGAGACAGGTCCGACATGAATGCAGCCCACAGCGCACAGCCCAGGGTTATTTTAGTCATTCTTTGTAGAAACCATGTATAGACCCAGATACTGGAGGTGGGTTACGTCATCTGGATTTGAGATTGATTTTTTAATCAGAAGTACTCATCTTCAATCCGTGTGAGCTTTACAATGCTTAGGGGAGGCCTCAGACAGAGATTGAGTTCCCTGGAGCAAGCCTCAGGCTCTGGGTAAAATAGGCATTCTCTTGATTTTATTCAAACCATGGTAACATTTAGAGAACAGGTTGTGTGCCCAATTGTCCTTCATTTTCCCCAAAGCTTCACAGCCACAGTTATCACTCACGGTTCAGCTTCGGCCACAGTTGGCATGGGAGTAAAGGTCATACTGCAACATTGGAGCAGTGACACCACTTTTAGGCTCCATCCTCCAAAAGACATGGGAAGTGGGACCACGCAGCAACTTGACTGCAGGACCTGCTAGAAGGATCTGGAAGGTGAGTGGTGGCCATGCACCTCTGATGAGGTTCAGTTGACAGTGACAGACAGCTAAACCCTGCAGCTGCCCAGAAGGTACCTCACCTTCTCCACTTGCCTCTCCTGGGTCTCCACAGAACCTCCTGGGAAGGCCAGTTTGCCATTTAGGGGTGTGTCCCAGAGCTTGTCGATTCTATGATATTGAGAAGCAAAAGGTTGTCAAAGTTGCCAAATGAACTGAGGCTAGGGCAGTGGGGATTTTTTTATTTTAAAAAAAAAAAAAAGGCCAGAAAGAAATTAATTGGGAAAACAGGACACATTTCACGAGACAGCTCAGGTTGGTCTCTACATGAAGGCACCACAAAGCTGCCCCCTTCCCTGGGGGGTCCCTTGCATCTGGCCTGAGGGCTCAGTGCAGTCCACCCAACAAAGACAAGCAACGGAGAGGGGGACAAGCTCCACTCTGCCCTCCGTGAAGCGAACACCTGGGCAAGTGGTGTGCAGATGGCTCTGCAGGCTGGAGGGAAAGGTGAAACATTCTTGGAGGCCACACGCATTTAGGGCGTGGTTCTTCAGGAGATACTGAGATCAGCCAGGACCTCAGAGGGTGAGTCCCCAAATGCAGGTGTCAACCCAACACGGTACAAAGCCAGTAGAAGAGTCAGTGCTCAGGGTCTCCATGCGGGAGGGTCCTGGACAGGTCCTGATCTCCAAAGTGCATCCCAATTCGTACAGTGTGACTTCTCTAGAAAACTGCCCACTTGCCCGTGCTCACATGCAGCCACTTCTGACGCTTTAACACTTCCCAGAACAGTGCCTGTGTATACCATGCAGATGGAATAAATGCAGGGTCATAAAGAGACAGAGACTTGTCCCAGTTCTGGGACACATGGCTGCAGTCTGGGATTCTAACATCAGAGCATGTGTGTGTGTGTATGTGATAGCTACACAATGAGTCCTGACTGCAACTGGCTGCAGGGAAGGTTCTAAAGCTAGAGAGAGGTCAGGACAAGCACCTGGGTGCTTGCCCAGGAACCAGGACCATGGGTGGTGCTCAAAGGGCCTTCAAGCTGCTCGAAGGCCAGCAGTGACGTTCTCTAGTGACCCGTATCGCTCACCCCATTTCCCTGATTCAGAAACTGAGATGGGGGTGAAGTGCTTTTGCCCAAAATCTGAGTCAGCATAGAAATGGGAATTCACAAAAAAGCAAAAAGAAAAAAAGAAAAAAGGGGACAACAAAAACAAAACAAAGAGAAATGGGAATTTAGTCCTGGGTCTCGGGACTGACACCCCCCGACTCCCTGGGGCTCTTTCCACAAACACTGCCCCTCCCTACCTGCCCAAACTGCATAGTTCACCTCGCCAAGGCCCTCACAGGCGCATGGCCACTCTCATTTGTTCCTACAAAGTGGACAGTGGAGCTGGTACCCCACACACTGGACCGTTAAATCAAGAGACTCAGTTATGTCATGAACTTCCCTGAAGGAGGATTTTGTTTTCCCTAGAAAACTGTCAGTGAGCCAAAGACAAACTCAATTTCTCCAATTCTTGTTTTTTATAAGACATGCTCAAGCTCAGCCTTCCCATCAGCTACTGAGAAATATGTAGACATTTGTTGCACACTCTATAGAAAGTGTCTCGGTCCGAGACACCTACAAGAAGGTGGGTATTCTGGTCAGAAGGTCGAATCTCCAAAGTGCATGCTGCTGCTCTTCCCAGGTCTCGGGGTCCGGAGCCACCCCAGCAGGGCACGAGGCCGTCAGGAGGTCAGGGACTGAATGTTCTTGAGCATCTCCTCGAAGGCCTGTGGGGACGGTGCATCCGCGTTCCGGAAGGTGGCCTGGACTCTGCTGTACAGGCTGAAGGACTTCAGCTCCAGCCAGATGAACCCAAAGCGGTCTTCATCAAACAGGATGAAGACCCCAGGAGTGCGCTCGGGGCTAGTGAAGCCATGGCCAGCGATGAGGCCCGTGCCATAGAAACTGAACCAAGAAAGAGGGAGAGAGGAGTGAGAGGGGCTTTGAGGCACTGTTCTGGCCCAAGTCAAGCACCGTGTCCTCCTGGAGTGTTCTAAAACACCCTTCATTCCATTCAAGCCACTTTTCACTATTTGCCAGCAAGAAGCTAAGAATCAGTAGGCATCCCAAGACAGCCTGTCTTCACAGGACCCCTGCCCAACTCTATACGTCCAGGCACCAAGCCATCGTAGCAAAGGGGCAGGGCTCTGGGCGTTCACTTATGGAACACATGAGCAGGCGTGCTGGGCTCACCCCACCAAACGTTAATTTCTACTACTTCACCCAAGTAAAGGAGGAAGATCTCAGGCAGCCCTACCTCACAACTCTGTCCCAAAGCATATGTCTTCATAATGCAGGCCCAGGCAACAAAAATCTTAATTCCTGGGGCAGTTATGCCAACATCTGAACAATTCAGATATAACCAATAAAGACTTACTGGCATACAACTGACAACTCAGAGGTAGAACTTTCAAATACCCATATGGTTAAGTTTTCAGATCTGTACCAGGCTGAAATACATTTGCCTTTCTTGCTAAGAATCCAGTACTTCTGACAGATGACAAGAAGTCAGGGCTGGCCTGAATCTTCCAGCATGCGGAATGGTGCCTGTGACCCCCACCTCCCTGGCCACACTGAGGGTCTCCTGGGCGGGAGAGGGGAGAGCAGCCTGCAGTTCAGGGGGTTTCTCAAGGGTGGGAACAAAGTACCACAGCCCACAGGGAAGCAAAGGAGCACCCACTGGGCTTAGAGACCACACAGCAAACGTCCCCTGCACAGGCGCTGTGGCAAGGCCTCGCAGACACATAAACCAGACAGGGAAAGATCACAGCAGGTCCTCCCAAGCCATGGAGCCCGATATTCAGGACAGGGGCGGAGGAGCATCCTAAGGCTCTGCCAGGGGTCTGGACCAGAGCTTCCGGACTGGCCAGCCCTCACATGCTGGTGAGCTACTAATGGGCTCTTAGCTGGCCATGAGATATTAGGAGTTGTCAAGTTTTACAGGGATAACAGAGCCTTTTTCTTTTATGGCCTTTCAAATGGGGATGTAATGTATTAGCATAGGGGAACAGTCACCATTATCCTAATAGCTCTGTATGACAGGTGGTTACTAGACTTACTGTGATGATCACATCATAAGGTACGTAGATGTCAATTGCTATGCTATACACCTGAAACTTTACCAAAAAATTTGTATCAGGTGAAATTATATTGGAAGGCCATTTGTATGTCTCCCTCTGGAAAAACCAAATTCAGTCATTTTTATCATAACTGTGTAACAAGAAGAAAATGTAGTAAGTTTTTTTCCGCCAAGCCCATGTAGACACCTAAATCCACTTCCAGGAGCTCAGCCACACTGTTAGTCTACACGTAAACAGCCACTTAGACCACTGCAGGCACATGACACAGCAGACCGCCCACAGGCAAAGGGAAACAAACCTATATATACAACTTGAAAAAGGTGGAGTGAGCCAGCTGTAATGCCAGGAGACTGACAGATTATTTCCTCAAAATGCCCCCTAAGGCAACAGTATTGAAGAACTTTCTGTGATGATGGAATATTCTAAATCTGCATGTCCGATGTGGTAGCCATCAGCCATGCATGGCTCCTAAGCACTTGAAATGTGGCCAGTGCAACTGAGGACCTGAATTTTTAATTTTACTCATTTTAATGAAACAAATAGCCTCCAAGTGTAAGGGACTGTGGCAAGGGTCTCATAATTCATCTACCAGGGAATGGCCTGAATGACAGGATTAGGCCTGAGGCAAAATCATTAAGAATAGCAAGACAGGTGAAGAGCTGGCAGCCTGGCAGAGGCCTTGTCCCAAGATCAGGGAGGGAAGTGGCAATGCCAGCCCCTTTCCACATGCTGTCCGGGCTGGGGTTCACTTTGGTGGCCACTGAGGCACTGGCCCAAAGTTGCAGAGGAAGGCAGAAAAATAACAGAGAGGAGAGTGAGAGGGAAGGAAAGAGGGAGGGGAGAAGTCACAGAAGAAACAATGAACCGATTTCAGAACTACCTTCATTAGGAGATGGAGAACTCATGACAGGCCTTACCTGCAAGGACATCCCGGCGAACTCCAAGCAGGCTCTCTACATGGAGAGGGTGGGCAGGGGGACAGTCCTCTTCCTCACTGTCTGCTTCAATGCTGCCTGACATCCTGCCTGGTCTCCCTTTTACCTTAGTAACTATGTGATGCAAGGCATTCTGGGAGGAGTCTTCACACCTGGCAGTTCTAATAACCCCAGCCTGAGGCTCCCTGAGGGGTGTGACAGCTGACTGTGCAGCCCAGGAAACAGTGCCATTAGTTCGGGTCTGAGCTGGGGCTGGGACAAGCTGCCAGGGGCTCCCACTCCAGTGCAGCAAGCCCCCACGCAGGCCTGTCGGAGCCCGGTCCCACCTGAAGCCGGGTCTTTGCCCACCCTCCTGTCCTTACCACATCTTGCAGGTTCGTGGGTAATTCTCGTTCCTTGAGCTCACACCCACAGGCAGAACAAACTGGACAGGCTGCTCCTTCAAAGCTGCGGCCCCTTCATTCCCGGGCTCTGTGGCCTTCTCAGTGGGTGGCCCGGCACCCTCGCCATCCTCAGTCCTGTCTTCTTGCTGCTGCTGCTGCTGCTCCTGGCGCACCTGCTCATGAATCTCCAGGACGATGCGGGAGAGCTCGTTGAAGTTGCAGAGGTTCTCAACGTTGGGCAGCTGGATGGGGCGCATGAGGTCGATCTCTATTGTCTGCTGCCCGGCAGGGATATTGGGGTCACCCTGTGGAGCAAGTGGGTGTTGGTCAGCAGGGCTCAGAGACCAGCAGAAACATGCTCCAGCCCAGATCCTGCCTCTGGCCAGATAAGCTCACTCCAGCGTTCCTACTTATTTAGCAGCAACCCTTTGAGAAGTAAGAATATTTCAGAAGCCCTTAAAAAATTAGTGCCTAGCCTGGCTGGTGTGGCTCAGCAGCTGAGTATCAACCTATGATCCAGGAGGATTGAGGTTCAATTCTCAGTCAGGGCACATGCTCAGGTTTCAGGCTCGATCCCCAGTAGGGGGCATGCAGGAGGAAGCCCATCAACAACTCTCATCATTGATGTTTCTATCTCTCTCACTCTCCCTTTCGCCCTTCCTCTCTCTGAAATCAATAAAGACATATTTAAAAAAAAAAAAAAAATTAGTGCCTAGAGCAGGAAGCCCCATCTGTGAAGGGATCTTTGAGGACAGAAAATAATACCTACTAGTGAGATCTGCTGAGGGTCTGCAGACACCCAGTACAGTGGCTCCCCTGCATTCAAAGCCCTCAGGTGTGGTAGCCATGTGATAGCTGAAGAGACCAGGACTTAGAGAAAGTCATCCTCTCCCAGGGTCAGGCAGAGGGCAGCAGGCCTGAGAGGCTAGCGCAGACAGGTCTGCTGGCAACGCAGAAGCTCCCAAGCCTGAACCCCAGATCTCCCAGGCCCTACAGTTCCACACAAGTCCCAGGAGCACGCCGAAATCCCTGCAGGAGAGCCCCACTATGCCAGGGATGCAGCCCTGGTTCCAGGATCTCCTTCACAGGAGCTTTCCCAAAAGCAGAGGGACCCCGGCAGACAGGTCTAAGAGCAATGCTTCATGAGGACTAGGAAATGGTGCTGCTTCTTCAGGATGCTTTAGCAGATCTGCCAGAAACTCACCCCAACAACTATGCAAATGACAGGTGAGGAAAAAGTGATTAGTGGCTGCTGGAGTGGGCAATAAAGGGCCTACTCGGCTCAACACACACCAATTGCTTTCACAAGCCGTTGAGGCCAGGACAGGTAGTAGGGCCTGTATACTACCACAGGGGGTCTCCAATGCGGTGACCCTTGGGGTCACATGGGGAGCCTGTGGAGTCCTTACCCAGCCCAACCCATTAAATCAGAATCTGTAGGGTAGGGCAAGGGCATCATTGTTTTCTCAACTTCCCCAGGTATCTCAGTGTGTAGCCAGAACAAGAGCCATGTGGGAAAGCAAAATACCCAAAATCCCGAGATCCTGGTTGGGTGGGTCCAGGTAGGGCCTGAGGATCTGCATCCCAACCAGCTCCCTGGTGAAGCTGTGCTGCAGGTCCCAGCCACATCAAATAGCCAAGGCACAGCCTGGGTCACACTATTCGATGGCTAACCTGACAGGTCCACACAAGGCTGGACCCACTGGGCAGCCCCAGGACTTACCGTAATCTTTGTGGCCCTGGCATGCTTCCCATGAAAGCTGAGCATGACAATCTCCAGGCCGTGGCTGCCATAGGTGCCTTTGAAGAGGCCTGGCTTGATGAGGTCGTCCGGGTGGCTGGGCGGGAGGTAGATGCGGCGGTATGTCAGGCAGTTGCTGCGGGGGGAATGGGTGGTGTGAGAGCATGGCAGAACCCCACAGAGCTGCAGCAGTGCAGAGCCCACACCTCCCTGCCCCTCCACAGGGGACAGGCAAGGCAGGCAGACTAGCATAGCCAGGTCAGTGGGGAGCAGGGGCACCCCATGTTCCTGAGCCATGCTCACCCCACCCACATGTGCACAGCACCCTCACACCTTCTCTGATTCCAACAAGGCTCTACAGGGGCTCACATGTCTCTGCCAGGTGCCCCAAGGCAGCTGGAGTGGCGCTCTCAGCGGAGGGAAGGGACAGGAATTCAAGACCGCGCAGGCAACATGGCAAAGGGGCTAAACAGAGGCTGCAGGGACAGGGCCCAAGGACACACAGGCTGAGAGAACAGGCCTCCCAGGGCGGATGTGGGAAAACAACCCCGAGTACTAGGCACACACAGCAGGCCTACCAGAGCATACTGCTGGTGCATTATGATGATAAATAAGACAGAAAACACGGGGGACAGGTGGGAGGTGGGATGGGGACTGTGCTCCCCGAGCCCACAGAGGGAGGTACTGAGCTCACAATACTCCCACAGAGACTGCACTCACAGGGCCATAGGGGGACTGTGCTCCGGATACAGAGGGAGGTACTGAGCTCACAATACTCCCACAGAGAGATTGCACTCACAGGGCCATAGGAGGACTGTGCTCCGGGCACAGAGGGAGGCTGCACTTACTCATACTGACTGGTATAGATGAATTTCATCAGGATGAGCTCCTGCATGTGCTCATGGAAAATGTCCTCCAGCGTCCGCCCCCATTCTTCCCTCAGCCACGTTCGGAATTCCTTCCAAGAGAATACAGGTCGTGAAGACCACCATGACATGGGCAGGTAGAGGCTGCTCACCGTGATACTGAGTGGACAAAGCAGCATTTTTACAGTAGGTGATGCTGCAGGTACATCTATGATAAAGGAACCCACCTGGGTGGATAGATGAAGACGGGGCTGGGCAGGAGAACAGGGACCTGCCATGCATTTGGTCTCTAGCACCTGGCCTCCCTTCCTGTTGATGTGTGCCACCAGTTAAAAGTAAGGGGCTCTGGTCCCTGCTTTCCCAGAGCACACGGGCCCAGGCTTCAGGGGAAGCAGCAGGGACGTGGGGTCTCTTCGGGTGAGGCTGGGGCCACAGTCCATGTCCAGAGCTCCCAGGGAACAGCCACATGATCCTTACTTTGTGGTCACCCATGAAAGTGGAGGCATCTGCACTGAGCTGGCTTGACACGACACAGCCTGAGCCTGGCTCTCAGGCTTCTGGGAGAGCAGCAGCACAGCAGGACTCTCACTAAATCCCATGCTGGTCAAGTTGGCCAGAGTCGCTTTCAGCTGCCGATGAGGAACATGATAGGTACAGCCAAGGTCGAGACTGTGGGTGGATTTTTCTTTCTCAAATGTGTCTTCATAGTTCTGTTGTATGTTCAGTAAATGTATGTGCAAAAAGGGAGCTTTTATAAACACTGAGCCCCCAAAGCTCAATTCATTATGGAATCAAACACTGGGAAGGATACTTAGTACTTAATTGCTTGATTCTGAACATTTAACTTAATGAGTTCCTAACTCAATATAGTGTTTCTAATGATTACCTAGAATTAGCTCTATAAACTGAAAGCGAAAGCAATTTTCCAAAACAACAAAAGAGCTACAATCTGTCAATTGCTTTAATATGTTACTGCCCAAAATCTGGCAAAGAACAAAAATTACTAGTGAATGAACAGAACAGTTATTAGAACTAAGTCAATGTATAAAAATCAACTGAATTTTTATATACTAGCAGCACAAAACTGTAAAATCAGAATTTTAAATCCTATTTACAATAGCCTGAAACAAAACAAAATAAAACTGCAGGACTTGGGAATAAATATTACAAGATATGTAAAACCTCCACTCTGAAAACCCCAACACTGCTGAAAGAAAGTAAAGAGGCCTAGTAATAGTCAGAGGTCTCTATAGACTGGATGACTCCTCATTAAGTCAGCAGTTCTCTACAAATTGACCTACAGATTCAATGTCAATCATAATCCCACCAGGCTAGCCTTTCTGCAGAAACCAACAAGCTGATTCTGAAATTCATACAGAAAGAAAAAGAGCCTAAACATCCAAAGCAATCTTGCAAAAGAGCAAAGCTGAAGGACCCACACTAGCTCATGTTATGACTTACTATAAAGCTACAGTAATCAAGATGGTGGTACGAGCATAAGGACTGACAAATATATTAACAGAACTAAATAGAGAGTCTGGAATCAGATCCATATTTATCCGGTCAGCTGACTTTTGACAAAGCCGACTGAGCCACCTGATGGGGAAAGGAAAGTCTTTTCCACAAATGGTGCTCCAACAACTGGACAACCATATGGAGAAAAAGAACCACAATCACTACCTCACACCATACACAGAAAATAATTCAAGATGGGTCACAGACCTAAACATAATGTGAAGCTACCAAACTTCACAGAGATATACTCGCTGTCACTTAAGGATAGGCAAAGTTTTTTAGGACACGGAAAACAATAACCATAAAATAAAAAATCTGACAAATTGTACTTCACCAAAGTCAAAACCTTCCGCTTAAATGGCTCAACTCATGAGCAAAGGCCCTTAAAAAAATCAAACAGATAAATAACAGATAAAAACGGAAGCAAGTGAATGTAATGAGCCAGGATTTCAATGTTGCCATGGTGAAAAGTCAGACTTGAGCTCCGTGCCATAGAGAAGATGGCCTGTGAATAGTCCTAATCTTATTTACTTTGCATGAAAATGCCAAGGTCATTAGGAATACCAACCAGACTCAATTACTTAGGACAAAGAACCTTATTATAAAATAATCTCATAAAGTATATATGCATAAGAAAAAACACAGAGGCTGAGAACATATAACCACCAGTTTAATATTTATCCAAGGCTGGCTCACCAAGCACTAGCACTGTATAATTATTGCCTTAATCTGCACAATGGTCTAGGAGATGGGTGCTAACATTTTCCTTGTTCTACAGAGGTTTGGGACTTATAAAAGCAGAGAAACCTTTCCAAAGTCTCCCAGCTAGTAAGTGACAGAATCAGAGCTAATTCAAAGTCCACGTGCTAACTGTTCTTGCCTCCACCGAGGCCATACCAGGGCAAACAGGAGCATGAGAGGCAGGGCTCACCTGCCCTGGCAGGATGTACACAAGGATCACTAAACTGACAACATGTAACAAGGATTTGGAACATCTTCAGAGCCTTCTACTCGGCAATTCCATTTCTGCATGATCCAGAATCCAGACAAGGTTTCTGCACGGAGTTCAGACAGTGGAGTGAGGGTAATAACACCTGGCATCCTCCTGGATGGCTCCAGCCAGGCCTGGTGCTAAGTCATTCACATGCAGTATTCTATTCAACCTTCCAAAATCACTTGGGATCCACAGGACCCATTTTACAGATAAGAACTGAGGCTCCCAGAGGGTAAGTCACTCAAGCACATGGTCAAGAGGGTAATAGGAGTAACGTGAACACTTGAGCACAAACCCCATGTCCACTTGCATAATGGTTACACCTGATTAATCACAGGAGGAGGATGGAAAGCTATGCTGAACTAAAAGTAAATCTTGTAAAGGGTTCTAACAAGACTGGAACATATCTCTGGAGTAACAGTAAGCTTAAAAAATTACTGTTAGACTGTAATTACATCAGAAATGCCAAAAAACATGAAGAGAGGCTGGAAAATGGGCTTGGAGATGGCGCCTAGGTGGGGCTGTGTCAGTAATTTTTCTTGCCAGATTCTGCTGATTTCTATTTGATGATAGGGCATCATTTTAGTATCTGGGTGATTACTTCCCCATCTCTGCTCCTCTCTGCAGCCCCCAGGTTTCCAGACACCTTGGGCAGGGGGCCTGGACAGGCAGAAGCAGGGAAGCAAAGTAGTGGCCGGCCTTGGCCATCTTCCGTGAAGACAAGCCAGGCAGCACCAGCACTGGGGATGTGGAGTCTGGGGTGGTCTGAGGGCTACACTACTGTTCACAGAGATCCAGGAGATGCAGCTGCAGTTTGCAGATCACAGGAGAGGGTCACACAGGACGCACCCGTGCTCAGGCAGAAGACCCTGCAGTCCTGAGGTCACCTCACAGTACAGCCTGGACTTGGCCTGCAAAGTTGGCATAAATCCTGGAACTAGAGTTTGCATGCAAGCAAGTGGGAGAGTTGGCAAGCCCTGTGGATGCAGTTTATGACCCCACAGGGCTGCCTTCTGGTACTGATGAAGGGTGGAGCCCCACGTAAAGGGCTGGGGAGGACAACTCACTGGTTCCCTCATGAACAGGATGCTAAAGAGATCACGAGGGATCACGAGCTAGCACAAGCCATCAGAGATTCAAAAACTGGCTGAGAAATGTACACCCAACAAATACATAGATGCTGTAATGAGTGTTCTGTATTTTAAAAGTTCAAGTATTTCTTAAGAAATGGCAATACTGTGCTCACTTCGGCAGCACATATACTAAAATTGGACGAGTGCAGAGGCTAGCATGACCCCTGTGCAAGAATGACATGCAAATCTGTGAACTGTTCCATATTTTTAAAAATAAAAAAAGAAATGGCAATATTTTGAAATGGCATTATGACTTAGATCCTCAGAAAACTACAACTCAAAGACAAGGTAAAATAACTCGTGCAAACAAAAGGACGCACAAAGAAACTCTTGGGTGTAGCTGACACGCAGGTTTATCCACTATTCTACCTGGTCTGAAGATCTCAATCACCAGGTCCACCTGTGGGGACAACAGTGAGGCTCTGAGAGCAGCCCTCTAGTCTCCCTGCAGCTCACCTCCAAGAAGAAACCTGCCCAGCACATGGAAGCCCTTGACAAAGGGGTGAAGGAGAACTATCTAGTGAAAACTATTTCCTTTTGGTTATTCATTCTGAGGGTTGGGGAGGGGGTGGTATGTGAGAGCAGGGCCCCTTCCCAAGCTCCAATCCCCCCTCCGTCCCTGTGGGAAAATGATGAAGGCCATCTGTAAGAGTGCGTGCGTGGGACCCTGGGAGCCCGGCCAGCTAAGGAGCTGGTCAAGGAAAATGGCAAAAAGAAACTGTTCCCGGATGTGAGCCTGGATTGTAAACAGCTGGTGTTTTGATCTCACACAGCTTGCACATAAGCGTGTCCACCCTGCATGCACGATCTGTCACCCCATTTATTTTTCTATACTCTATATAACTCTGTACTATGAAAGCCTGTGTTGTAACTTCACTGGCCTGCAGCCCCCGGTGCGCACGTAAGTCCTAATAAACTCATGTCTTTCATAGGTTATTAAGCCAGTCCGCCAGGTTATTTTTTGGGAATTGGCAAGAAATATGCTGAGGTTTCTTGGACCTTGGCTCTCTGCATAACAGCATGGAAACAAAAATCTATGCATGTATACACACATCCAGACGAGGCCATTTCTGACAAAAGGGTGACACACTTTCTGTGCCAACAATGTGAGGATGAACCATGGGAGAGGGCCCTCTTGTTGGTGGCACGCTGACGATGTCAAACCATTCAACCCTCATGTCTGCTCCTTGCGTACAGAAGGGGCATGTATGGGCTCACCTCTTGTCTCCCCCCAGACATCCTGTGGTGCTCTGTCTGGTTGCACTTGGTGGAGAACTCGTCCTTCTTCACAATCTTGAGCATTCACGACAAAGGAGAGAGGGGAACAAATCAGTCGTGGCTTCTCCACCAGACAATAAGCCCCTCCTCACCGATGCACCCCACTCGTCTACAGAGGCCCAATATGCCTACAAATCATGACCAGGCCAGAAAAGGGAGCTCAGAACCACCCTGTGCATGCACTTCCTTCTTCCTCAGAGGAGCAGTGCAACAGAGAAGGGGAGGGGGGTGTTTTCCCAAAGGGATTCTTAGAGCAGAAAAAAGGGGCTATAGTTTCACAGTGTTAGAGGTTTTGAAAAAAGAACAGTGATGAATTGTGGTTGGAAAGAACAAAAGGTTTTAACTGGATGCAAACCAGTGGAGGGTTCCAACTAGTGATTCTTTGAGCAGTTACATCACAGCACCATAGCATAAATAATACACAGAAGGGATAGAGGTAGAGCCCCGTTTCCTCCCATTTCCCCTGATCTGTATGGAAACAGGCCTGTAGCTAGAAACACCACTGTGAACTCAACTGGAAGCAGGACTGGAAGAGCAGAGGAGACCTCGCCCCCCGCCTGTGCATGGCTGTGTCTAAGGGAGCCCAAACACACACTCACCTGGATGTGGCCGTTGTGGGGCCCTCTGTGGCCATACATGCACTCCACTGTGGCTGACTTCCTCTCCATCAGGTGAATTCTAAACAAGGGCTTGAATCGCATTGGGTCGTCCACATGAGGGTCATGGGGAGGCAGGTACATCCAACCAATAATGAACAAGCCATCCACCTGGAGTAAGGAGAAAGGGTGCATGTCCACATGAGGGTTACAATGAGGCACTGAGGTAGAGGTTCCTCACCCCGCAGCTGTCCATGATGACCACCCATGTCTCCATTCTCCAGTCCCACGGAGAACCTCAGGGCCAACAGACATCACGATGCCCCTGATCTGTCACAATGGGACAAGCATAGCCCCCCCACCAAGTGATTGTTAATTAGAAAGTAGTTATCGAATGTAAAACAATGTGCTATAGTTGATAGCACTGTATTGTATCACTGAAATTTGCTGAGAGTAGAACTTAAACATAAGGTGATGGATGTGTTAATTAACCAGATGGTGGGAATCCTTTCACAATGTATACGTATATCACATCACCATGGTGCGCGCTTTATAAATCTTACAATTTCGTCAATTATACCTAAATAAAGCTGAAAAAAATTAAAATTTTAAATAGAAAAAAAGCAGTTAGACCTGAATACAAGAAAACCTTTGAGAGAGAACTTCCAGCTTTAAATGAGGGGTGGGAGGCAGGGGGAGTCAAATGACATGAGAAAAAAACATGAGGAATAATCCAGAAAGTGACACCCAATAGGGCAACTGACCTGAGAAAAAAAAAAATGGGAGTGCTGCTTTCAACAGGAGAGACTCATGAGGCAAAACAAATACAATGTGAGGGCCTCGTTTAGGTCCCAATTTGAATGAACCAGGTGTCAAAAGGCAGTTTTGAGGCAATCAGGGAGCCTTCCCTATGGACTGGGTCTCAGGTAGTATCAAGGGATTGCTGCCACTTTTGTAATGTGTGATAAGAATGTGGTGGATATGTAGGAAAATACCCAGATTTTTAGAGATCCACACTGAAGTATGAACACATGAAGCGACACAGGCCTGGGATTTGCTTGAAAATGCCTGAAAACGAACAGCCAAGGGGCAGAGACAGAGGCCACAAACTTGGCACACTATCAATAACTGCTGAACCCAAGGGGTGGGTATTGGTAGTTCATGCTATCATTCCCGCTATTCTTGTGTGTTTGAAACAGTGAGTGACAGAAAAGTGACAGAGCTCAGCTCAAAGGATGGTGCAGTTCCCACACACTGGCGCTCAGCACAAAGGCGCCCAGGTTCTCAGGGGAGGGACAGGGACAGCCCCATTTGGGATGACCCAGCACTCGCTCCTGCCTTCTCAGGAGAGCCTGGATCCATGGCTTCTAGCTCTATCGACAGAAGAGGGGAGAAATTAATCACTTTAGTGGCTAATTGGCCTGAGATAAGAGCTGTTGTTCAGTCATAGGTTCCATTTTCCCCTAATTATCCCCTGCTTTCAAAAGCTTGTTTTGGGTTTTTTTTTACTCTATTACTCACTGCCAGTATGAAAAACAATTATCACCTGCCTGACTAAAAGGAAAAAAAATATGCCCACACTGGGAGCTGTCTGGCTTGTCCCTCAGAGAATGTTTTAAAAGCAACGCTTTCCCCCAGTGATATTAAACATAACACATGTAAAGTGTTTCTTAATGAATGTTTCCACCAAATATGAATATAAAGCAGTATTTATCCCTGTCCCAAAACCCACCTGGTGAGCAAAATACACAGTGACAGAGTAACCAGTGTTACCAGATGGCCCACCTGGACTAGGCTCGAAAGAGCCACACCCAGGCTGTCCAGGGCCCCAGTGGCCACTGTGAGGCAGGCCCGCTACCATTTCGTGATGTGCGGCTGGTCTCCTGGACTGGGCTTCTGGCATGTGCCAGCAAGAGGAAAGCAGGAGCGGAACGCCAGCGCGCCCCAGGGGGCACCTGCTTCACTGCAGCAGCATCGGGGCCATTGGTAAAGTATAACTGCACATGCCCGGCCCTAGGGCTTCTGCTCAAGAGCCACCATTCAGAGCACATGGCAACCTTCACTGCGGGAGAGACAGCTGCTCTGCTGAGCAGCAGCCGGGGCCACACAGGAATAACCTGATGAGCGGTTCCTTGTGATTAACATCACAGAGAAAGCAGCTGCCTTGGCCCTCTGGTAGAAAAGGCACTAAGTTCTGTCCCTGTGAGGCAGCAGTCCTGACTTCACAGAAATCCGCAGGCAAGGCTCTCGGACTTACCACCACATTCAGCAGCCCTCCGTAGGGCCCGATGTCTGGCTGCCACAATCCCAGGATGTGTCTGTACCGGTGCAGCACTACAGAAGAGAGAAAGAGCAGGTTTTCACTTTCCAACCAGTCAGTCCTCACTTTATAGTAAATCAGAGGAAAGGGCAGGAGGAAGAGAGAATTATGAAGAAATTATGAAGGCCTGTAACAGAGCCTTGTAAACGAATGTGGATTGCAGCAAATGTTACCTACAAAGTTTCTAAAGAATTCTAAGAATAAAAATGTCTTTAAAAAGCATAATAAAACAGACAACTGGGTCATTCTGAAATCCAGCCTCTATGTGAGCAGCTCTAGTGGCTGGGAACTGCTGTCTTGAAAGACACAGACTGAGCGCCTTTATGAAGTGATGAGCCTCCCGTCAGTTTACACAACCGAGGAAGCATGGGATTCTTTAAAAGGTGGGGCAGCCTGAAAGGTCCCAGGTTCAATTCCGGCCAAGGGCATGTACCTCAGTTGCAGGCACGATCCTGGGCCCTGGTCAGGACGAGTGTGGGAGGCAACCAATCAATGTGTCTCTCTCAATCGATGTGTCTCTCTCTCTTCCTTCCACTGTCTCTGAAAAGCAATAGAAAAAAATATCCTCAGGTGAGGATTAAAAAAAAAAGGTGGGGGCAGAGTTCAAAATGTCATGGGGCTGTATGTGAAGAATTAAGTTGGGTCATCTCTCTTTTTAAAAAAAAAAAAAACGGCACTTACCCACCTTATTTCAAAAGCAATGTATACATATTCACTGAAGACAACTGGAGAAAAGGAAACCCAGTGAGAACCTGAAATCCCACTACACAGAGATGAGCAGCTGCAGAAAACATTTTGGAAAATGTCCTTCACTTGAATTTCCTTTGCACATGTACTTGTTGAGTGAATAAATGAATGACTTAATGGGCAACTAACTTATGCATGGCCTTGACTGCCAGGTATAGGGTCTGGGGTCTCTGTGCAGGCAGCGTGTGGTGGTTAATTTCGTGTGCAACTGGACTGGGTCACGTTATCCTGGATGTGTCTGTAAGAGTGTTTCTGGATGAGATTAACATTAACGGGTGGACTGAATAAAGCTGACTGATCTCCCAATGTGGTGGGCCTCACCCAATCAGGAGAAGGCCTGAATAGAAGAAGGCAGACTCCCCCACCAGTCAGAGGGATTCCTGCCTGGCTGCAAGAGCTGAGATGTTTTCTTTCTAACTTTGAACTCTAAATATGGGCTCTTCCTGACTAACCCTCCTGCCAATAAAGAGGAACTTCCTCCTGCCTGACCGCCTTGAGCTGGATATTGGTTAAAAGTGGCCTGTCCATCTCCTCACCGTGAGGTGAATGACATTCTAAAATTCCCTGTACCTACCATAGCAATTTGGAGCACTGCCAGAATTCTAGGTCAGAACCTCAAAACTCAGAGCCCTACAGTTACAGTTATTTTTAAGTTCAAAATGCATTTCAACAGTCACCACCAATCTGCACACAGGGACATGTGTTAGATATGTCATAAGGACAATACATCCCCCTGTGATGCTTCCAGCTTCTTACAGACATGAATTATCAAGAATATCAGGCAACAACATATGGCCTGATATTGAGAAAAATATAAGTGACACAGCAAAAGCAGCTAATCTGAGGCCACGAAGCTCCTGACAGTCAGAATCTGCAGCCTCAGATGATGCCGACTTGCTTCTCTCCAGGACAGCGTCTTGCACTCAAGACTCTGGTCCAACAGAACAAAGGCCCAGAGGGTTTTAAGAGACCAGGGGAACACAAGTTCTCAACAGCTCCAGGAAGAGTGCAGGGTCCCAAGTACCTCACAAGCCAATCATCACAGCAGACTTTTCTGGAAAGTCTGGCTAATGGTAGGGAAGCAATTCTGAGCTGCACTCCGTTAAAACGTACTAGGAGCGCTGGAACACCAAACACCTGGGCACAGAAAAGTTTGAAATCCTGGTTGAAATTACTTTTCTTTTTTCACGTTAACTTTCTCCTAACAGTCATAGAGGTAACACCCCACTCACAGTTTAAATATGTCCACAGAGAAATGCAACCAATGCTTACAACTGGTTATTTTTATTATATTTTCTGTATTTTTATAACTACACTCAAACCTTATATGGGACGGCAGCCTCTAGTTAGAACAGTCTCTTCTAAGCTGTCAGCTACCAGCAGCTGCGGGACACCACAATACATGGCTAAAGTCCAGAGGCTCTGGAAGTCGTCTCCTAGAGGCATGGTGAAGTCTGGACCTGTGACACATCCTTACAAGCTACAGAAAGCTTCTGACCACTCCTTGGGAACAAAAAGAACCCCCCCCC